CTCTCTTTCTCCAATATCTCTGTCACTTTGTTGTATCCGCTGGTCGCACCTCGTCTCGGCCAACCGTCACAAACATGCAGCCAGGCTCTGTAACAGACTCTGGTTTCATTCCAAGGAAAGAGTTCATTCGTGAACAACGAGCTACGAACATCTTTGGCCTTCTTGCTATCTCTGGCTCAAGTTGTATCAGGCTTTATTCTTTTCCTCCCGATGTCATTGCAGCTTTACGTCGACTCCTTGATCACTTTTACCTCACAGGTGGATTTCGCGAGGATATACAGCAGAACTTCTGGGAATTTACCATAACTCAAAAGCCCTGGAATGCACCAAAAAGTCCTCGTACAGAGCGAATTCTTCTCGACATACTCGCTGTCATATACAGGTTTGGATACACTATTCTTTCTACCGTTGACTATGGTCGGGAGCGCGACGATCGTTTAGCTATCTCATTTTCGAGGCCACTTTTACCTTCTTCGCCCGCTCCACCCTTTGCACCAGCTCCCGCTGGCTCGGGAAGTAATATTTCGCACCAGACGGGGCTGCAAACGGAGAGAAGAATGCCCTTTGCCATCTCATTTGTCTCGCAGACCATCATGCGAGTTATCAATCCACCACTAAACGCAACTCCAGCAATTCTTCAAGCCGTGCGAGGATCGTGGCCTCGGGGCGTATTATCGGAGAAGAAAACGGATAACGCGTATGAGTTTAAGTTGAAGGGGTATAGCTGTGAGTGTCCTTGAGTAAAATTCGTGTAGGTTTTAAAGACTTTTGTGCAGGGTTCCACGAAGACACATTTGCGACAGATTCTCTGCGACACATCCTTTCACTTCTATCATCCCTCGATGCTCATGCATGTTCCCTTGTCATTTCGCTGGCAATCAATGGTCGTTCCAGAGTCAAGGACCTATGGGTCTTTACCGGCCCTAGCACTACTGAGACTGATCCTTATTGGCCCGAATCTCCTATAAGCCAATCCGGTTCTATGCTGGATGTAAGAAGATCTCATCGGGCGTCGACGCCCGAACCACCAGAAGTGGGTATGATCCCCAGCTCTTTGCATAGAAAAGCCGCCACTAGCTCTCAGCACCCGCCTCACGGCTTGCCATCCTCTCAGACGCCTCAACACATGCGGTCGGCCACAGAATCCAACGCATTGCCTCCCCTTGCGACAAATTTGCCGCCTCGTGCAGCGCCAGGCAATCAAATGCGAAAGCCTGCACCCCGCGCACAAGTGCCAGTGTCTGTTGACTTCGATGCTCGAGATGATGATGAACATGGTCGATTTCGCACTTCTCTTGCTAGCGCTGTGCCAAGTAGTTGTGAGAACATGACTGGTATAGGTTCCATGGCGCGTAATAGATTCACTTCCAATCTCATCTACACAGCAACCCCTGGCCCACTTCCTGAATCGGATCATCTCACCGAAGACACTGTATTCTCGTCGCCACCTCCTGAACGACATCATCATAGACCGAGATCGAGATCTCCGTCTCCCCAACGCCGGGTAAGCGCTCTGCGACCGGTATCGACTCGTTCGAAGACCCCTCCGCTCCTTCGATCACATTCCCCGCCTAGGGACCCTCGCAACCCCTCACCAACACCTGCTAGCCATGATGTCTCGATGAATGAGGGCCCGCCTCTCCTCAGCCCAGGGATGTTTCGTATGAGAGACTCAGCATACTCTGCGAATACTATTGACACAGACACATCTCTTGGGGTCCCGTTCAAATGGCCAGGACTTGGCCGGCCAGATGGCATTGAAAACATTGAGGAGGTGCACGAGGAACCATGTGAGGAACCAACGCCACGCCTACATGTCTTACCTGGCGCATGGGCAATGTCGTCTGAGGAGGAGCGCCCCGAGATGTTATCCCGCATGAACGAGGCATCTATGGTCGATGAGCGTGGTCTCCATCTGGAACACAGAAGAAGTCCAGACAAATCATTGCATGATATCGATGCCAGGATTTCCTCGCCGGAGTTGGTTAGTGATCAGGCTGTGCGCAAGAGTGAAGCAGGGCTGATTGGGATGATATCTCCCCCGAGGCCTCCTCCTCCACCGATTCATCCTCCATCAAGGGAGAGCGTTTATAAAAGGAAGGCATCAAATTCAACTGATCCACCTGCATCACCTATAAAGTCTGGCAGTCGCAGTGGGAGTGGTAATGGTTGGGTGCTTGTGAACGTTGAGGGCAAGGAACACATGACAGCTTCAATGTCAACACCAGTCGGTAGCCCCACGTCCACGACACAAGTCGAGCGTGGAGGAAAGCGCACTACAAGTGCTGCCGCAGAAAGGACCTCTATGTCCGCTGCAGCGAAGGCGATTGCTGTCATTGATGCACAAGACACAAAAGCCAAGAAGCGCCAGTCCACTGGTTCTGGTCTACGACGTTTTCTATCTATCTCACGGCCTGGTGCCAAGGGCGCTGACGAAGTGAAATCTGACCCTCGTCTCGCTGCTCTACGTTCAAAGGAATTAGCGTCCAGCGAAAAAGAAAGTTCTAAACTCACCTCCTCTCGCCAAAGGCGATTTCGCAACAAGTTCACCCGCCTAGGAGCTTCAGAGCCTGCCGCTCGGCCGCCAGATCGAGTGCGGGTCAATCTCGACTAACTTTTACATTCTTTCCATTCTCAATTCCCTATCCCTTATATTATCGACATATGCGTAATTGCCTCCCTACGACTCCTCAGCAGCATATGACTCCATAACCCACATTTACTGACTTCTTTGTGCTTTCGTTTGTCGCTCATGTAGTACTTATGCTTTACCTCTCTACAGGTGCCTTACGACAGACTACTCGTAATTTTACGGATACAGCATATCGCTTTTCAAACTGGTGTCAAATTACTCTTCATGGCCTGAAGGTTTCTGTCATCTCCATGCTTAATGCGTTCAACTTTCGACTTTCCGACAACTTCCACAGCAAAAACCACCTAGCCCATTGTGGCTGAAAGTGTGTGGATTCTTTTCGCGCACCGCTCGGATGCTGTTTCCCACAAGAAGACAGACAGTGACTTCCATTGCACATCTGTCATCTGATATCTTTCACAAGGTCGAGCCTCGCTAAATTCGTCCGCAGTTGCGCTCGTGCGCCGTGCGGGTACGGGTATGTACCGACCCGTACACCCCGCGGTATTGTGATTATCCGCGGGAACAAGCATACAACGTAGGTCTAATAACTATCACTCGGAATGATCATCCGAGGGATCCGTTCACGGATATTATGGTTCGTTCATTGTATGCAAGCGGAGCAACGCGCTCAGGGTCATCGTGATATATGTTGCATCTTGCAACCGTCATGTATTTCTCAGTAAGTATAGGATCTTCCATCAGTCTGTATGTCGTCAAAGGTTGACAAAACTTTTAAGTTGGAACGTAATGCCAGTGATGGCGCTGGGCCATCATCAGCCATGAGTTGTCGATTGCCATTTATTCTGGACTCGGGTGCAACACAGTATCGATGTAGTCAATCTTTCTACAAGATACGTAGCTCGGGTGATGAAGACGAGTCACTGTAATTATCTGTGTATTCTATCTTGCAGGTGCGGGCTCACTCATGATGGTATATCACACCGTGAAGTTCATTTTTGGCGTCCGATCGGACTTGCCAGCAGTGGATGCAACTCTGGTCTGCTGCACCACCAAGTTCATCAGGCCCCAGGGGATCGACTGCATTGCCGCCGTTAATATAGGTATGTAGTCCGACTTTTGACGACCTTAACTGTTGTTCATCTTCGAAGGATTTTACCGGTAGATTGATCAATCTTGAGATGCAGGATGTATTGTACCTTGCAGCCCCTGGAATGTGTCCACTCGGTGCTCTTAGAGGCTCATTAGGAAGCCTGATCAAATGTGGTGTGAGAACCTGTGGCATACCTACCCGCCGAATCACCGTGCTGGACCTAGCACTTCTGCCTGACATCATTCCAGCTCCAGTCACCATAGAGATCATGAGAGGTGTGCTATCACAGGGACGAGACCATACGCATTCCGGATGTTATTCAAGCGAACCCGCATCGACTTCTCATCGATTACTAGTCTCTCGTGCATAAACGGCGTGGTATACAGCTCAGACTGTTTCCAGCTTCAGAACAATTGTAGCCTGTTCGTGCCTTTTTTTGGTATGTCATTGCTCTCCTCAATTCTTCCGACCAGCTTACTAAAGAAGCTGCTGAAGTGAGCACTGCTGTATTCGCGTTACTCTACCACATGACTTCAGAGATACAAATTTCGGCTTCTGGTGCTTGCGCAATGCGCGTGCGTGATATCTTACTACTAATATAGAGGGCCGGCATGACATAGATTTATTTCTCCATCACTCGCATCGATCATTAATATTCCTCACTATGGACATTTCCTCAAATACTCTTATCGCATGTGGTCATTTCTCCTTCGTTGACGCAGCGAGTAGTGGCGTGTCGGTACGCGTTGACCACATGCCGGGTCACGTGAATGCCAGCCACATTCCCTTGGATGTACTTGTGGTCCTACAGTGCGCACAAGCATGAAACAAGCCAAATGAAAGTTCCTGCGAAGGAAGGTTTAATCGTGACAATATTGCGGTGGAGTAGTTATTCATAAATTGGTGTAGGACAAGGACTACGTCTCGAGGCAAAGCAAAGATCGCAATGAGCCCAAGATCGGAAGACCGAGCGTCACGGTCATACGCTGACGTCGATGGGTAAAATCCATGGCATTCAGAGGGGATCCCATTGCCAACTGGCGCGAGAAAAAGCTTGACCGCGTCTTTGGTGTTCGGCAGAATGGTTAATGGTGTTCGAGGTGCGAGCCTTGTGCGGTTCCCGTGACACAACGACAGACACGGGTGGACTGCCGTTAACACGAATAAAAGCGATTGATTCTACTAAGTACTAACTGTTGTTAATGAAACGTGACAGTCGTCAGAGAAAGGGTTAATGCTGAGCGTGCAAAAAAAAACTTTGGTTGAAGTTGGCGTCTCTTGTGTAATAAGACGGAGGCAGAGATGCAAAAATGCACAGGGACCGCTACACGCATTCGTTTCCTCCCTAATAGCCACCCGCGGCCGTTCCCTCTTATTTCCCGCCTCCTGCCATCTTCACCCTTGTCCTCCAACAATCCTTCCCCACAATGCCAACATGCAGACGCAAACGTGTCGTCCTCACAGAACCATCCGAGGCTCTTCTCCAGGCTGCAAAGTCCAACCCTAACAAGGAGGTCTATTATCTACAGCAAACTGGCGAGATATTTGAAACTTATGAGTTTGTCAAACCTTTTCTTTTTTCAATGTCTCCTACAACTATGTTCTCCTCAGGGCCTACGCTGCTAGGATGTCATTTTACAGGCTTAAGCAGTTCCAGTGCGAGGTCACAGGAAAGAGCGGCCTTGACTACTTCCAGGCGCTTGAAAGCGAACAACAGGAGGCACAGACTATGCACTCCAGGTTCCCTGAGCCTCTGAAAGCCGCTGTCCTCAAGGCTGTCCAATGGCGTGCGTCTTTTCTCAGTTCTGTTGACCTCGAAGAACGTTGATCATATTTGTCATTTGTAGAGGTCGTAGGTCGACTAGACCACCTCGTAGAAGCTGTCTTTGACCGGTTCAAGGACCGCTATTTTGTGGATGAGAGTAAGTTGGTCCGTTAACGTCAATTTACCCTAGCACTCATCCCATCCTTTCACGCGACGTCAGAGGTGTTCGTTGACGCGCAAGGCGACAAGTTCGTGCACTATACTAAGGCCTCTACCCCTGTAACTGACATGTATCTCGCCAGGTTCTACGCGAAAGTTGTGCAAGTGCATCCCCCGAAGACCAAGAGTGACGATGTCGATGTCCCAGCCGAAAATCAAGCCTCATCTTCATCAGTGACATCTCCACCTCACGTAATTGTTGATGATGACGCAGTTCAAATCCACAAGGTTGGTGGAGACTTGAAGATCCCAGCGAAGGAAGCATTGGTCCGCGATGACCCCCTTAAGTACTCCTACAAGGTCCAGATACTTGAAGAGCAACACGAGAAGAGTCACGAGAAAGGAAAGGCAGCATCGAAAGATAAAGCCAAGTGGAGCGGTAGCTTCATGGATGTGCAGTGCAGTGTCATGAGGTTTGTGGCCCCATTAACCCAACATGAACAAAACTGACTAGGTCTTGTAGCCGCGATCGTCTTGCATTCTCGAAGTCTATTCTTCGTCGCTTTATCCGTGACTGTGTTGATCGTGATGCTGCCGTCGCCTCGCCATGGACGGTAAAACCGGTCATCGCGAAGCACTATGGTGTCGACTCCGTGATGCCAGAGGAAACACGCAAAGGTGTTGAAGACATCAAACGCGGTGAGATTGATAAGCGTAAAAAGATATGGGAGGACAAGGAAGGACCACCAACCAAGAAGCAGAAGAAGATGACTGCTGCTCAGGAGGAAAGAGGTAACGTTGCTCTATCCTGGATAATACTCGGCGCTGATTCCTGTAACAGTGAAAGCCTTGGCTGTTGCAGCTGAAAAGCGAGAGCGCGAAGCTCGCGAAAAGGCTGAGCGTCAACAGAAGGCAAAAGAAGAGGCTGAGCGTCTGGCTGCAGAGAAGAAGAAAAAGAAACCCATTCGCTACCCTACTGAAGATCTGGATGTTCGGCTTAACGACAAGGAGAAGAAAGCAGGTTTGAAGGTCAAAAAGCCAACGCCAAGTAAATTGGGAGTTCCGTTTGGCGAGAATCAGGGTACTTTTGAAGCATTTTTAACGTCATGGAATTTTCTGGTCATTTATGGGTGAGTGAACAATCGCAAATTGTTACATATGAACATCTAACAGTCTACCGCAGACAACCTCTCCACTTGTCAACATTTACAATGGATGAGTTTGAACATGCTTTGCGGCATTCCCTCGTAGACCCGCCTTGTGCACTCCTAGGAGAGATTCACTCAACGCTCATTTACAACCTACGCACAGTGCCATTTACTCGGCATAGTGCTGTCCTGTCGTTACTGCGTCTCCAAGATACACTGGAAGAAGAGCACCGAGTGCTCAGTGTCTCAATCGATGAGTTAGCTGGTGCCATGGCTGACGTGGGGAACAACTGGGAACGGATTCCCTTACGGCACAATGAGATGCGAGACGGGTGGGAGGAGGCTCTTCTAGGATGCCTGAAAGATGTAGAGTGATTTCAGCCTATTGTTCATATTCGATGCTCATTTCTGATAGCACGCCACACTCGACAACTTTCCTCGCCTACGAGAAGTCTTGACAAGATTACTCTTTGCCCCGGAACCACATGCAGAAGTTTCGTCTTCATCTTCAAGCTCTCGTGTTTCAAGTCCTGCTGCAAACAACCTAACTGTTCAATCCTCACCCAGCGAGCGTTACTATGCGCTGCCTCCTGCCGACAGGATTGATATCCTTACCTTGATGTGCAATCTCGCTGTATCAAGCAAGGCAGTTCATTCCCATATGGAGTCATGCGAAGAGCAGTTAACTGCCCTTCGCAAGGAGAAAATAGAGATTGGCCGCCAGAAGAAGCAGTAGTAAGTTCGCGTTAGCGCATAGTGGTATTTCCATTTAACGTCCTTTTTCAGTACTGAGGAAATGAATTCCCTTGCCGGGGAAACGGAGGTGAAGGAGCCCGGAACCAACGGTACCGTTCCAGACGAAGATACCACGATGCACGAATCCAGTGATCTTTCGGACGTTCCTTCAGAAGATGGCTCGGAGACCGCATCTACTTCTAGTGCTCGCCAAAAGAGATCAGCGCGTCAGAAAGATCTTCGTCAGAAAGCCCACACTCAGGCACACGCGAAGCAACGAGAGCTCGCTCGTGCTCAAGCAGCCTCTGCGAAACAAGCACTGGCAGAACATCGCAGACTTGATGAAGAGGTCAATAAGCTTGAGCGTCGATTAGAGGCGATTGAACGAGAGTTCAGGAAGCTGCTTGGTGCGGTGCGAATCAAACCATTGGGAAAGGACCGGTTCCATAATCGGATTTGGTGGTTTGACGGCATGGGATCTGCTTCTTTGCTGGGCAGTGGAGGCGTTGTTCAGTACGGAACTGGTCGAATCTTTATACAGGGCCCGAGCGAGATGGATTTGGAGTTGATGTTAAAGAAGGAGGATGATGACTATGAAGCTAGGAGGCTTGAAGAAGAAGGGCCAGAGGGAATGTTGGCACCATCCGAGTGGGCACAGTATGCTGAGCCTGAAGAGGTAATCTTTATCTATCATTTTGTTGATCGCCGTTGATTGTTTGGCTTTGCAGCTCGACGAGTTCCTTGCTTGGTTAAACCCTAAGGGTGTCCGGGAACTAGCCCTGAAGAATTCATTCATAAAGTGGTGGAGTCATATCGCTCCTGGCATGCGCAAACGCATCTCTGTAGGTACTAGAGATCTCGACAATCAACACTGTCTAATCATTATGAGCAGGATCTCAACATAAGTGCAAAGCTTCCTGAAGCCAGACGCAGCACCCGAACTAAACCTTCTGGTCACGACATCTCTCGCGAGCCTTACATGATGTGGACAAATCGAAGAGCTGTTAACTCAGTGTAATGTACGTATGTGCCGTTCTGTAAACATTCCATTCCTTGCGGCGGTTGTTACTATGCCCTTCAACCTTTGTCATCAAATAAGCACATACTAACTCGGGAAATACCTCTCGATGAAAATAATAAAGCGAGTGTAAAAATATATATTTACCAACTAAATATGGAATAGTATATTTCAGATTGAGAGCAAATAAAAGTAGCAACTACACTGATCACACAATAACTTTGGTCTTTTACTCTTTACTATGGTGATCGCCAAAGGGCTCGGCCGTTCATCTAGAACCGACAATAAAATTTCCTGCAGGCCGCAATTGCTTCCTGACTATCTATTCCGTCAGCCTTCGCCCGGATCTCCTGTTGAACCTTAGATTACTGTTCAATAGTATTTTCCGGACAACCGCACGCGACCTTTAAAACTTTGTGCCCTTGTCATTGGACACATACCAAACAGTATCCTAGATTCAGATATGACATCCTACACATCGCGTGCAGGAGTACCCTTCACTTCTAGCTCTGTGGATAGTTCTACAGGCAGCATGAGGGGCGTTATCGCTTCATGTGCGTACTAAAATTGTTCCTGCTGATCTACAGTTAGTCTTACTCCAAATACAGACCGTCGCTCGCAATTTTTTGCCAGTTCAAATATACCGTATAACGCTCATTTTTCTGACGAGGGGTCGGATGAAGAGGCTCGCGTTGGAGAAGATGACGAGGAAGGCGAGTTAGTTCCAATACCCAGGGATGACATGACAGAGTTCTGGGACTGGGACGAAACGTCGCGTCCAGTCTTACAACGTGCACGAACTTTTATTCCCCAACGGCCTGTTGAGACACGGGAAATCACTGCTACTAGCGCAAGTCAACTCGCTCAATCAACCAGTGATGAAACTGTTCCTTTACTGCAAGCATCTCCTACATCTAATCAAGTCAGTTATGGGGGATCTGATTCAAACGCGTACGTCGGTGGAGAGTCACATGGCCCAACAGATCGGTCTATACTACGGCGCAAGTCGTCAGGTACCCTGAGGAAACCACACAACTACGGAGGACAAAGTACCTACGGGCAGACAGTAGGTGTTATCATTTGATCGTAAATATATCTGCTAATTGCGATTAATCGCTCAGTTATTCAACAGCATCGCGATATTATTGGGCATCGGGATGTTATCCGAGCCCCTAGCCTTCGCATATGCTGGTTGGATCGGTGGAACGGTTCTCATTGTATTTATGGGCTTTTTGAATTGCTATACGTCAGTTGAACTCGCACTACTTAACTATATTCTCCCACTCACCGCACGCAACAGTGCTAAGATTCTTGCTGGTATCATCTTGGAAGACCCTCGTTTGAGGTCATACGCCGACATTGGTCGTAAGGCGTTTGGTCCAAAGTCAATTGCCCTGACCACGATTATGTTTTGTCTTGAGCTTTTTGCCGTCAGGTCAGCGTGTTTTCTAAAAGACTTGGTCATATTGTTCATGCTTCTTTAGCGTTGCTTTCGTCACTCTAGCCGCTGACTCCATGCACGAAATCATGCCAGCGTATTCTTCAAACACATTTAAAATCGCGTCCATAGTCGTGTAAGCGTTACTTCCTGATGCTGTTAACACAATTCTCATGGTTCTTTGACCATTTAAACGATAGATTGGCACCGCTGGTTTTTCTACCGCTCTCTATACTTTCTTATACCTCGATATTTGGCATCTGTTCGACGCTCCTTATCATTGCTGTCATTTTCATAGATGGCTTTTCCAAGCCGGATGCTCCTGGTAGTCTCTGGAGTCCGGCCGTGACGTCATGGGGGACTGGCTCCATGACAGAGCTTGGAATTGCTTTTGGCTTGCTTATGGCTGGCGTATGTCTCATCTTCCATACGGTTCCTGAGACATGTCACTCATTGTCTTTTTAGTTCTCTGGCCATGCTGTAATACCATCGCTGGCCCGTGATATGGTTGATCCTTCCGAGTTTGATAATATGATCAACTGGGCCTTCGTGAGTAAATTTGCTACGGTTTATTTTTTAACTTATTGTTCACCATTTCCCAATCTCAATAGATCGTTACCACACTCATCTATGGGATCATCGGTTATGCTGGGTATTTGATGTTTGGACGGAACGTGAGCGACGAAGTGAGCTTTATGATCTCAACCTTTGGATGACAACCCGTGACGTTGACGACGCATTTAGGTCAGCAAGGACCTCATGAACACTCCTGGTTATACTTCATGGATCAATGAAATCGCACTGTGGACGTTGGTGTCAACCCCTATGTGAGTTTCAGAAGTTGCCCACCTTTCCTAACACTGACGCTTTTGTCAACAGCACGAAGTTTCCTCTCAGCACGCGGCCAGTGAGTGATATGCACTTGTCCTAGAGAACCGAACACTGATAGCTTCCGTCTAGCTCAATGTCATCCTCGAAATCATGCTCGGTATAGATAACCATGCACCATTGCAGGGTGGTATCAAACCCCAGCTGGACACACAACTTTCTACCGCCCATCGGCTTTTCAATCGTATATTCTTCATTGTCGAGCGCATATCTGTCCCTGCGCTGTCTATTTTGGTGTCGATCCTCGTTCCAGAGTTTAGCTCCCTTATGGCCTTCCTCGGTTCATTCTCGGCCTTCATGATCTGCGTCATTGGTCCTATATCGGCCAAAATTGCCCTTGAGGGAAGGTGTAGCTTGACTGATGCTTCATTCCTCGCAATAGCCACTGTGATGGCAACTTGGGGTACGCTCGCTGCATTTTGGACAGCGTGAAATTCTCGTTGGTTTCGGAGAAATACAGACGGATCATTAGTGCGCTTCGAGTCTCAAACTTCCTTTTTTTCCCCTTGCGTTTCTCGATGTATCACGCAGATACGTACTATACATCGTCGTCCAGTTGCATCACATCCATCGACATCATACTAAGCGAGTAATGTACAATGTACACGCATATTGTGGCAAGTCATCATTTGACCTGCACAGTATGCGAAATGACCTTGCTGAGTTCTACAAAGAATCAAATAAATCGACGACAGTTCAAAAGTTGCAGCAAATGGAAACTCACGTGGAAGCTTGATATGCTCTTGAATGACGACCGATTCAATCTGATTGTCAGGGTTTGGCGGTATGCTGACCACGCCAGTGGATGAATCAAACGTCCATCGTTGTTTTGCGACCCATGCCTCTAGCTCTGGTCCTATAAAAATATCAAAAGCTGAACGGAAGCGACACGTGGCTCATAGCAAACCTGTTAGATCCACATAGGTTCCCAACCTCTCACTGTTGATCCGCGTGAAAGTAGCCCTTACTGATCGCGCGGCGACTTCCCGGATGGCATCTTCGAACCCTGCACACTCCACTGTATAATTCTCTCTTATGACCTCCAACTCATCGGACCGGTACAGTACCCAAAACGCGGAGAAACGACACTGGTGAAGAAGGTTGTAGAGATTCATGAGAAGCGGTAAAAGCGTAGGCAATGGGTCGGGCTCGTCGAGCGCAGAATTTGGTGGCCGGTCATCGAGGAGAGATATGCAGAGGTTGAAGTCTGGAAAAGGCTCTGCTGTAAGAGCTTTGAGTAGGATATTAATGACAACGTCAGGATTGAAAAGGTCAGGGTTGAATTGATAGCTGCGACCAAGGTATCGATATTTGAGCTTCCAAGATGAATCATATAGAACTTACAGCTTCAATATAGCCAGGTTAGCAAGGCAGTCATACTCCTCACTGCGGATCTGGTGGTAGAGGTAATCCTCGAGAATACCGACATTTGATGGGTTGTAACGGTCTGGGATTGCGTATGAATGCCAGATCGATTGTGATGAATTTATAATTACCCACCAACACCGGATACCAGATTTTCAATAAGTTCTGTCCGCGAAGGAGGCGAAAGCCACGCTGTTGTTGCTGCCATCGCCGCGTTGTTTTTGAAGGATATGTGTATTAGTGAAAGAGCAAAAACTAAAAATTTGATGGACCCCGGACACCGGGACTTCGTTTTGAATGGGAGTCCTCTCTGTGCAGGTACAGTACTTAATCCACCACACTTAGACACAATTCTTGTTGATATGTTTTCACACTATATAGAGCTACATATGGCTGGTCTTATATCTCAAATCTACCATTAGAAAATGTTGCGATGTTGTGTTTTGTAGCTGAAATTTCACGTTTCGGTACCTGGCACACTCAAATGATTTTTTTGGCACACTTGGACTTCATACACGGTTAGTTCTCGGGAGGGTCTGTGAGACCTTTGGGACAGTTTGTGTCTTAACGGGGACTGGATGTGGTAATTCTAAGCATTTTCGTCAAATATTACACATACATACTGCAAAATATGAATCTTACCCTTACTTTTGTGCGCATAACATACCTGTAAACGGAATGCTACATCATTGACAGGAATAATGTTAGTGGCACATTGTGATGAAATATAACACATATGATGAGCAAGTGATTTGATTGACCAGAACCAGAGGTCTGTGAGAGGTCTCAGATTGGTGGCTGTATGGTTATATTAGTGCAAATCAATCCATGAGTAGACAGTAGTTCCGACATTTTATAGGCGCGCAACAGATATTTGAGAATGCATATATGAGATACACATTTGATAGTTAGACGGGGAAGTATGATTGCTTGCGTCAGGTGCTGGTGTTGATAATCACACCATAGAAAGAATGTCACAAATAAATGCATTAGATGCTACTGAATGGAACAAAGGCTATAGTACGTAGACAGACGGTGACACTACCAAATGAGCCCAGTATGAATCACTTTCTGCCAGTGAACGGTCACTTTGTCGAAAGTTGGAATAAGGGAGTGAGTAGACGCATATCGCTTCATGTCATCTTGGAGACATGACATGAAAAACCTTGAATGATTGTCAATAATTGACGTGAAAAAGGAGAAAAAACGATTATGTCTCGACTATCTTTTCACGTTCCAATGGTGTCTTCCCAATGGCACGAGCTTCCTGCCTGACATCACAAAGGAGAAGGTCGACAAATTCCCAATATTCGGTTGATACCCAGTTCCGTGCCTTCTCTATCATATCGGCAACTGTGACTCCATCGGGTTCTTCGTTCTCGCTTGTGGCTGGACCTGGACCTGGGGCCTCAGGGGAGTTGATGACTTCAGAGTCCCTGTTCTCCACGACAGCAACAGCGCTGTCCTGAGCTGCCGATGTGGCCTTAGCCTGCTCAACGACGGTCTGGAAGCTGACAAAGGTACTGCGCTGTTCAATGGCATGTTGTCAGGAAGTGGTAAGAACAAAACAGGAGTAGGAGGCTCATGCTTACCAGAAAGGCAAAGCGTGCCCAGTGTGCCACTGTAACTTCGTGACCCATTGATGCTAGAGACTTCGCAAGGACAGATATATTTGCCTTGGTTTTGAGGCTATGATTGATCTTTGAAACATGTGAGTATGAAAATCTCATTAAAAATGTCGAGTACCTTTTGCTTCACGCTCCCCCACTGTGCGGTCAAATTCTCCTTGATGAATGTAGTCACCATGTCCGACATCTCTGAATCCTCGAAAGTTCCATCAGGAATTTTGAAAGTCATAGGGTGTTTCTTTGCATAGGCCTTGAGTTGTGTGAATTAGTATACTGAGCAGCGTACACAAGGTCCATGCTCACGATGACATTGTCTGCAAGCTCAAGGACATATCCTGTCAGGTTCGGTGATAGTAAACATGCACGTAATCTATCTTTCATGATACCCTTGAACCACGATGAGCCATGAATCACACGAAAGTTCGGGCAGTTACCTTGAAATCATCCGAAGCAATAAAGTCCTGACTTGCAGATCGTTTGGCGGCCCTTTGCATTGTGAGCAGGGTTGCCATCAAATTTAAGAACATCTCCTTGACGGACTTGACCTGGCATCGGACTGGTCAGTCAACGTTTAGAGATCGTTATATTAGTCACTTACATTGAGAAAGTCGTCCAAAGCATTGTCAGGCAGGCCATGGGCCTTGCAAGCATCGGTAGCAAATTGTTTGAGCTGTTTTCTTTCATGTTCACTGTCGATATCATTGTCTGCTGAATCACTTCATGGGCGTCTCGCTGGAGTTGTGGGGGGACTCAAACTTGTGGCCCTGCGGTCGGCAGCCAAGTCTGTCATGGGAGTATTTTCCCTGGCATTCACAAGACCAGCGACTGGAGTGGAAGAACCGCGCGGGGCAGCAGCTGGTGCTTGGAGGAGTCTGAATTGTGTCAACAGACTTGGACGAGCCATTTAGTGAGGATCAACTCAGCGCAGGGCAAAGGAATGAGACACGACAACAGACATAGTTATAGTAATCGATGTGATTTGTAGTTTGTATTGAAAGTAAATATTAAAATGTCTATTGTTCATCATAAGTGCGGAAATTATGAAGAAAATGACCTGGAATACCGCTTGCAGCGGGCAGGTGGGGGGGCATGTGCTGCACGACAGATAATTGACTAAAATCTCGAGGTGGATATGAAGTGTGAGTAAAGTTATCGGTTGGTGGAGCATGCCCTTGATGTTGTGGACGAGCTGGTTCAGAAGGGCTCGCGTGCATCTGCCAGTAGCCATGCGGCTGTAGAGTTCCTGAGGGCAAATAAGCGAGGACGTCAGATCGTGAAAATGAGGCTTCATTTTGTAATATAGCACCAGCTGGCGGGGTGCTATAGACCTGCTGCGGGCGTTGCAATCAAGATGCAAGATCAGAGGGTCCCGGATCAGGGCCAGTCACAAGCTTCTTCTTCGGCACTACTTTACCCTTGCCTTTCATTCGTGTGGCTTTGCTTGTGCTATGATCAAAGGCCGGGGGTGGGTCATTCTCCCTCGCTTTCTCCGGGTCGGCGGGATTAGCACTGTCCGATGCCTTCTTTTGGCGCACGAGTGCTGCAGCATGGAGACGTACAGCCTGGTGATCCGATATACATGGCATGCTGATCTGGGCGCGTATATCCGGTGGAAGTAGAGCTGAGATGTGTTGGTAATTGTGAAGCGCGTGGGTATTGAGGAAGTAGGCATTAGTAGGTGCATGATCAATGAGCTGCCGGAGTCTCGTTGTGACGATGCGCTCCTGCCGCTCTTGCACATTCCGGATGCCACAGTTTGCTCCAGACGATGCGCAGTCATGTTGAACGTTGACGACACACAATATTTCCTTATGTAAACTCTCAGTTGTTACAATAACATGTAACCAGAACCCCTCATACGGAGGTCATCCTGACCTTAGCCCCTATCCCGCCATATGCACTGTCTTGGAAGACTTACCGACTCAACGGAGACACGTAGAGACACCTAGAAATGGCCTGGATGCCGTTAGGTGACCTAGACCAGCCTAGGCAACATCTAGACGGACCTAGATGGTCCTCGACCCAGATCATGGAGAAGCTCTGCTTCATGGTCAGAAGAGAAGCCGCATGCCGCAGCATGTGCAGTTAGACTACAAGGCATGTTTAGCCTTGAGGACTAATAGAAGAGGCATGGAACGCCTCATGTATAGATAATCGCCCGCATGGCATCTGATAACATGCCCGTGTATGGATACATTCATACTTACCTACCGAACGTAGTATTGGTCTGTGCACACGGACGACAGTATATAGAGCAGACAGGATCATGTATTTCTGTACTTTATTCTACTAGGTTTTCCCCAGAACTTCCTCTGAAAGACAGTCCCAGTCCTTCAGTCTTAGTCGCACCTAAAGGCAAGCCGACGCTACCTTTAGTCGTACAGTTCCGTTAGCCCTACAGCTTGACGAGCCGCCGCGCTTACCAAGCTTGTCGGAGGATACCTTAGCATTTCGCTAAGCTGTGAACCCATCTCTCCAGTAGCGAGCCCGCTATCTGATTAGGCATTCTGCCTAGGGAGAGCTCGACCTATCCTAGTCGTAACATCAGTATGCGCACAAAGAGCAATGAAAATAAGACTTACATTGGGTGTAAGGACAGCAATATCGTCAATGTCTGGAAATCTGAGGCACGGCACATGTAATTGAGGATGTAGTTTAGCTGACGAGAATTCGAGACACCGAATGATGACATGTGTTGCGATGCGTCCTTGGTGTGGCACGAGTATTTCAATGACTTTGCCGATAGAGAGCTAGAACAGAGAAGCAACACTTAGTAAGATGCCGCTTTGCAATATATCATTGCTTACCTCGTCCAAACACGTCTGATTACGCCTCATGATGACATGGCTCCCCAGTGGCGCACTGCTGTGATCTGCCACTATGAAAGAATCACACTTGTAAAAAAGCGAGGCAACAGGGAATTGATGCTTTCCAGGAGGAAGAAGTGCGGTCTGTGTCGAACACCATTCAACTGGTGGGACTTTGCCCCCCACATCCTTGTGAGTCGGCAAATGAACTAATCCTACCAGGACATTAGCAGGTGGTTCGAGTGTGATTGAAACATTACTTACTGACTGGTTTTTCATTTGTGGTGGGTAAGCCTATCAAGCGGCATTGTTCAGGGTGTGTGGCCATGTACGCAGCGATGTTGTTACCAGCATGCACCCATTTCCGTGTCTTCAGGTTGCACCAGAAACCTCCAGTTACGATGTGCTTGACAACATCAAAGCCACCAAAGGTATGACAAGTATCGCGACTGGGAGCTTGACAGTTGCTGTAGATTGATGATAGACAGAAAATATGGTTAAAGGACTCGAAGCGCTCAGTTGAGAACAGAATCACCGGCCCAAAGTGCCGTATGAAAGCTGGAAGGTGGAGGAGGAAGTGGAACTTTGCCTTCGTGATGAGGATACTGGGCGCACATTTAGCGCTGATACTGAGAAAGTCATTGATCGTCTGTGATAGATTGGCCTTAAAATATGAATGAGACAATAACTACTTTTGAAGATGAGAGTGCGACACACCAGGTAATCTTCAGTATTCTCAATTACCGTGTGCCAGAGAAGCACCACGAGCTTGCCAATCACAGTCCAACCATCGAGAACTGAGCGCGGAACAAGGTTGTAGATCAGGTATGGCATTACCTGTGCAAGGCTCTTAAAATGCTTGCTGATCAAACCTCCTTTGAAACGGCAGATGTACTCTGCTCCAAGAGTCGGTGAATTTAAGCCTTCTTTGTTGACAGATTCCAGTCGCATCTGGAATGTATTGAGCAAGTGATTTTTATCGAGTATCCATACTGTCTGGCCCCAGAAGTACTTGATGACACTGAGAAGGACAGTATGTAGGATTTCCGTGGGCGTGTCTTGATAAATATTGACACTTGGCATACCAAGAAGTGGGTTGATATGATCATCAAGCGAATAACCATTTAGCACAGCCTCAAGCTCACGCTCAAGCTGTACACGAACGTCTGCTTCAGAAATGGGAGGCTTCCTGGCCTCACGTTTGCGAAGCTGTTTTCCAAGCTCAAGAAGGCGATTTATGATCGCCGATGTAGCTGCATCTCGGGTCCCTGTTGATGCCACAGCGCTCTGAATTTTGGTGGTTCCACCAGGCAGTTTTGCAAGCTCGACCTGCTCTTTTACCTGCGCCAGCATTTCCTCTGGTGTTCGAAGTTCAGCGGACTATAAGTACATTAGTTTAGAAACACACAGAATGTCTGGACGAACCTTGAATATACTACAGTAACCTGCATCAGACTTCTTGTCTACAGTTGTGCCACCAACTTTGCATGTCCGGCAAAAAAAATTGCACCTCAGCCCACCATGGTGTTAAGGTCGTACTCTCGTAGTATCGGATCCGAAGGACTTCGGCCTCAGCTCGTATGCTGTGCCCCTTTCCCAAGTACTGTCCCTTATTTCAAAGACTTAACGATAACACGTCCGCAGGTCCGGACGAGTCTCGTAGTTATATCCGGATGACTTCCGGATATCGGAAACATGTATAAGACTAATCCGGACGGATCTGGACTAGAAACAAACAGAGTATAGACTATCCAAAGATAGAGGCGGAGACGTAGACTATCGGAATCGATCCGAAGTCTCAGAGATTGACAAGAGTTGTTTAGACTCAAGTCCAGAGGACAGAAAGAGGACAAACTAAGATGATATTCGAACTGAGGTACTACAGGAAATATACACGGGTTTATATACTAAGAGGATAACGGAAGGATCAATAAGCAAAGGTCCGAGGCTATGTATGAAGCATATGCAAAGCTTATCAAACGCGAGTCGGAAATGAAGCATAGGATAACAGATCAGTAATCATACCGGTAATAAGTATAACCGAGACACCGGGAAGAGGAAATACCGAATAGGCTGTGTTTAACGTTATATGAACAGGAAATGAATTAAGAAGCTTATCGGATATCGGATCGGACGCGGATCTATGCATTGGACCGGACCGGATCTAAGGGTCCGAAGTTTGGAAGAGAAGCGTGAATATATGGGATATGACACATGGCTGCTGTTAAGAACGTGCTCAAGGGTCGGATCCGAAGGGCTTGACTTCAGCTCATGCACTGCGCCCCTTACCCGAGTATGTGCCCCTAACTTCCGAAGGCTGTCGAACGATGTCCGAAGGTTGCCGGACGATGTCCAGAGGGCGTCGGGCGATGTCCGGAGTCCGATGTCCGATGCGCGGGAATTCTGATGGATGTTCGGGAACAAGAGATAAGACTAATCCGGATGAAGTCCGAACTAGAAAGGAAACAGCGGAGGACTACCAAAGGTAGAGGCGGAGGTGACAAGTCTATAGGAATCAATCCTAAGACGAGCGGAGGTCGACGAGAGAGATACTCAAGTCGGACGGAGGAGAGAATGAGCAGAGTCTAAGATAATATTCGAACTGAGGAAACTACAGAGACTGTACAGGGTTTATATACTACTGAGGACATAACGGAGAACAGTAAGTGCAGTGCGAGGCTATGTAAAGCTATGGATAAAACATATGGGACGACTATCACTAGTCTATCGGAACTTAGTAAAATGAAGACGGAAATGAATAAGGGACGGAAAATAAAGCGTACTAACTGATAAGGGAAATACCAAAGGGATAAGGCACGGAGGTTAGACGCGGGTCGGATCCGGACGATACATAGAAGTCGGCCGGATCCGGAAATCCGGAAATGATGAGTGTGATAGGTCCGGATCCGGAACACGGGATATGACAGAAACACATTGTAGGTTTACAACTCAGTGTGGTGCTATAAGCTCCTAACCGATATCTTTATGTTGTAGGTCATCCAACACCTAGTCTGCTATACTTGCGGGACAAGTGCATTCGACCCTAAAGGGGAAGCTAGTGCAGCAAAGGTCTAGAAATGACACCTGGGTGACACCATTCATTTTACTAATTAGTAATAATACTGCGTACCTGTACTTGTTACTAATTCGTAAGGAATATCTATCTACCACGCTACCAGCAATAATACCAGCACTCAGCAGTCACTTGGGCGATTTCTACCCCATAGTTGTTTGCTATAACGGGAAGACTCTATCGGGTAAGTCCGAGCTTGTCGTCACTGCCTCGGCTGATCCCTAACCCGCCTAAAATAGGCTTTGGGCGCTGTCAATTCATTTCTCGTAAGCTTTTGCTCGTCGTCCACGACAATGAGCTCATTCCTTTGCCTCTCCTACCTTTAATTTTCATCCGTTTTTCAGCAGGATCTGTGTAGCGTGTAGTCACTGGCCTACTTAGTGTATTCAACACCTATCCTACGCTGTTGGACCGGTCACCATCGTGCTACTCAACAACACCTACAGTGAGCTCATTCTTTCCCTTCTCCTACCCTTAATTTTTATCCGTTTTTCAGCGGGACTCGTGCAGTGCATATCTACTGGCCTACCCAATGTATCCGGCACCTCTCCTACGCTGTTGAACCGGTCGTCATCGTGCTACTTCACAATACCCATGGTGAGCTCAATTTCCAGCGTCTCCTGCCCTCATTTTTGGTCTGATCTTAGGTGGTCCTTTTGCATCATGTAGGGAATACCCTATTGGGCGCATCCGCTTGTCCCATTGTCGAGCCCATTGTCGACGCGCCGTCTTATTGGTCGAAAGATGGACGACTTGGAATTAAAGCGTGACATGAAACACTTTCCCTTCAACATTGTTGACAAGGGTGGTCCCATTGTTGGACCTGTTGTCGACGCGCAATCTTATCGGTCGAAAGACGGACGACTTGGAATTAAAGCGTGACATGAAACCCTTTCCCTTCAACATTGTTGACAAGGGTGGTCCCATTGTTGGACCCATTGTCGACGCGCCATCTTATCGGTCGAAAGATGGACGACTTGGAATTAAAGCGTGACATGAAACCCTTTCCCTTCAACATTGTTGACAAGGGCGGTCAACCCGCTATTTTGATAGGTTACAAGGGCGACACACGCCAATTTGTGAGTTATCAAGATCCCTATGAATGCGCCGCGCTCAGTCTTTGTAGCAAGTTCCTTTCCTAACCTCTGTTGCCCTCGTTACTCACCTGTTTCTCACCATTTCAGACGTTTCTTTCGTGGTTGAGGAGCTTCTCATTGCCATAGTCAACAAGGTATGTACAACGTTCTAGACTCTAGCACTACTATGTTGACCTAGACCGCCGCTAAGGTGGTGCCAGAAGTCCTCGGGGTTCCCCGGGACATTATGTTTGTTTATCGATATCATTGCTGATGCTATAGCTCCCACGCTCGAGCTTCAACGTTGTCGACACGTCGAGTCCCCACAGTAAGGTCGTTCTGTACCCTCTGCCTCCTTTCTCATCTGCTTTTGACATGTCTTTCGCATTTGAATAGCATATATGTAACACTTGAGCAAATCCTATCTACTCATCCCAGCACCTATTGTGTCGCTTGAAGCCCCTGCTCAGTACCTGTGTCATTCAGCGAACCTTCAAGACTCTCCACATCACTTCCTCCCTGCTCATTGTCGTTATCTTCCTCGCTGTCGCAAATGATTCGGGTGCTCTTAGTGCTGTCGGCTTTACGTTGTCGTGCAGCTTTACGGGATTTGTAAACTTGTTCGCCATTTGCTTGGCGCTTGTGGTTGTCGCTGATGCGTTCTGATAGCTCATCGTCACTCAGCACAACCCAGGAGCACTCGCCCTTGACCAATGCATCTAACAATTTGATTAGGTGTTCGCGACGACCAATTTTCCCAGGATTGCAGACACTCTTCTCGTAAGTCCACCCGTTGATTGCAACTGCGTAGACTTCGACGATATTCTTCTCGTAGTTTTCGTAATTCATTTTGATCTTCTTTGATGCCAACCTGTTCTTCTGCAAGATGTTGTCTGCACCACACATCAGGCCATGGCAAAGTACCATACTATGGTAAGATCATACCTAAGCCATCTTGGATATTTTTCCTGCACAGACTGACGAGTTTCGACAACGGAAGTCGCTGTGTTGCGGACCTTGATGACTCTTCGCCTATAATGCACACCCATGAGCATGTCGCCTCCGAAATGACTGAAATTATTCCCGCACCGAAATTCCCGACAACCCATGACTCGAACTTGAGTGCCAGGTGTTTCGGTTCGAAATGTAGCACATCCTTGATGAAGGACTTAGCCTTAGTGGTGAGGAATAGTTTAGCTTCATGAAAATGTTCTAAATCTCCCCGAACAGCAATATAAAAGCCTTCCATTGAAGTACGCGCATTGATGGCTGTCCACTGCATGATGATGAGCAAAGGGATTTTGTGGTAAGTGGTAAACAGACCTCTTTTTCCATTGTGTTAAAGGTTGAGTTGACATCTTTCAGAAGAGCTTTTGGATTCGATCGTACAATGTTCACCCGCATTGCGCGCAGGTCATCAATACCAAGCCGTAATTTTTTTTTCTCGCTTTCCGACAGGCGTGCGTAAGTCTGCTGAAGTTCAGCATAATGTGCTGAAATGTACGCCGGCAGCCGGTAACGTTCCCCAGGTCCACGAGCTAATAATTTTTCAATATTTAGTAATTTGTTCACTGTGGTATGTACTTTCATTTGCTCTATTGAGCTTTGCCCTCACAAAAGCGTTCCAGGCGCTTGCCTTGCGACGTTGTCGAGTCAATCGGCCACCGTTTAATTGAGCGTGGGTCCATTTCAAAGACCTGTCAATGGAGATGAGGTACGTCAGATCACCTTCGTCTTGCGAAATATATAGACTTACCTTCCGTGGTCTTGAGATATAGAACGTGCTTCCTCCTGGTATGAATCTCGCGCAGTGTTGATGGCATCTGTAAGCTTCATAAAATTTTGACGACGTTCTGCTTTCTGCTGAGTGATGAGCTTCGCACACATACATTTCTTAGTAGAGACCATAGTGTAGAAAAAAATGTTGATGGGGGGACTGGGTATGTGAATATTTAGGCAATTAAATGTAGCTAATGTGTGCTTTTCTGTTGAGGACCACTTACCACGTGGTGATCACGGTGGTACAAGAACTTTAAAAAAAAATTGATACATTAATTCATTGAAATATAATGATACATTCTACTAAGTCATTCTACTAAGTCCCAAATCGCACCGCATGCACCACACCACCAATAGTCACTGTGTACCTTCCTGGTCCTCCTGGAATTTCTTGCAACATTGGAGGTGGTAGAGGGTGAGATATCACAACATGGTGATGGGGTCGGCTACATCCCTGACAGTTCGGCACCACTGGAGTATTAGACAGGCCCCCATGAGACACTGATGACGTGATCGAGCACGTGTTGGCAACTCTGCCGTGGTGTCCATTTTTGGCCTCCTGTAACAGGGCACAAACACTGTAAGTTAATGTCTAATCGTTATAAGATCCACAAAAAAAATTCTTACCTCGAGCGACGAATCAGACTCAGTCTCCGACTCTACCAGAACTGTTCTCACTGATGGCAGTGGTGTTGGCTGAACACGTAAAGGAGGGGGCACATCTGGGACGCGGCCAGAGCTAGGTGTTGATCCTGATGTGGACATCTCAGACGCTATGTCAAAATGAACATGTCGGGATATGCGACGTGCCTGCAAATAATTAGTTTGGAGGAAAAGAGCCTGAGTTGAATGAGCACAACTTACAGTTTGGCGTTGAGATACATCACCAGCCATCCGTCGGGCTGGACGAAGCACTGGAAGTCCTTCAGGCAGATTGAGAGCATTGGGCCGTTGATTACCAGCTGTCCGTCGAGCCAAACCAAGCGCTCTAGGCGGAGTACGAGGGTTGGGTGGTTGAGAGAGCTGTGAAGGTTGGCGATGGGGCGCATGATGAATCTGGACCTGGTTGTGAGGGGTGGGTGTAGAACGTGTCTGGTTGATGGTAAGCGCTGAGCGAGGGGGCTGCCGGCTTGTACTAGTGTGCAATGGATGCACCGCAGGTAGCTCAAACGCTACTGACGCTCGGCTACCCTGCTGAAACATATTGTTTTCCTCTAAAACATCACGTCTATGTTAGAGCTGTCAGGCTATATGACAAAAAGACTTACCGACGATCCAGCCACATCCTGTGTTAGAAGACGAGACATTAGGTGCATTCTTCCAATCCTTGTTGAATGCTTTCTTGCATGCAGGGACTACGATCTGCTCTGAAAAGATATCCTTGATGCGATCGAAAGCGCTGTCAGTTTGATCATCTGCAAGCTTGCGTGAATCACCGCCAGTTAGATTCTTCGACCTCTTTAAGTTCAGAGCAATAATGGGGGGTCGGCGAAAAGTTCCTGTGTCACGCTGCCAGCGAGCCAGCCAGATATGTGCTTCGATGTTGAGGGTGAATGTCAGCTAGATAGTGTCAAAGTTAAAACTGAACAAAGAGATCAAACAATTGTGTCCGTAAAACTTACAGTGTCGGTTCCATCATGTGCGAGATCCAGCCAACAAATACTTGACAGTGCAGATGCACTCATGAGAGAGAGGTTCTTCGAACAATTGAGAATGTCAAAGGCGTCTGCCATTGTTTGAAGAGGAAGTTGTATGAGTGAGATGCGAGTCTGAGTTAATTAAAAGTATCAAGAAAGGCATTAGTATGTGTTTGGTGCGTCACTGAGTAATGATCATGGTGATAAAGTGATTTATCACTTTATCACTGATCATATACACTCAGTGACGCACCAAACACATACTAATGCCTTTCTTGATACTTTTAATTAACTCAGACTCGCATCTCACTCATACAACTTCCTCTTCAAACAATGGCAGACGCCTTTGACATTCTCAATTGTTCGAAGAACCTCTCTCATACTAAGTGCAGCATCCACGCAATTGAACCACTAACTATCACATTTTGAAGCAAGCTAATGTTTGCATGCATGCACGTATATAATAAAATAGTAGATGCAGTACTGTACTAAATCATACAGGCTTCTAAACGGTCAGCCTCGTCCCAAAGTGCATCATCCTTGTCAGCTTCAATACTCCTAGTACCCCTTAAATCTTCCATCATCTCATCTGCATCCCCACCTCTGTGATCATCAATGCCTCTCGTCTCCGTGCCCCTCGATCCACAGTATCCAGAGAGATCATAAATAGCCTGAATTCTTCTGCGATGCACATCATTCGCTCGTTTGCGCTCCTTGTACATGCAAGAGATCTCGTGTGAGAGTGTCGGATCTGATTCAACCAATGATTCAAATGTTGATTTTAAGTGCGCGTCTTCATAATCCACCCAAGCAGAGAGTGGTGCAACTTCGACATTAAGACGTCGAACTTCCTCATGAGCACGTTGAATTTTGAAGAAATTGTTCGCAACCTCACGATTTCCCTTGGACGTCCACGGCTTCTCAAGTATGCGATGACGTGAATGCTTGAGGAGGTCGAACTCGCCGAGCCAAGCATATGACGCCACTTCGCTGTATTCTATGACATCTCGTGGAGGCGTTTGAACAATAGCAAGCTGATTATATTTTTCAAGGGCTCTTCGGATGGCTCCTGACCGGCGACTGATAGTGTTTGAGATATGTTGACGAAGTTTGTAACCTTCATGTTTTTGTTAGAATAGTGTTGAGTAAACAAAAAGTACGCACCTGTGCCAGCGATGTTTGCTTTGGCCAACTCAAAGAGCCTCTGAACAACGAGACCCTGCAACTGCTCAATGGCACGAATGAATTGCCGGTTGGTAAGATATACCAGACCCTCCTGATATTTCGTATCCTGGGGCTGCCATCTTTCGGCAATTCCCATACGACGCTCGATATCATCAACCACATTCATTTCAAGAATTAACTTGCGGTGAGCTGCGTGACGTTCGGCTTCTCGAGCACTCGCCAACACTTGTTTTTTTTTTTGGAGACCATGAGTAGCAGTGAAATCTGCGGGTGTATAAGTCAGAAATTGTACTGTTGTGACACTGCCATATGCAGCTCTGAAATAACGCAAGTGTCAGCACAATCTAAAATTTGACAGACGCTGACTTACTCGGCTTTGGCAAGTGATCGTAATGCTTCCACGTAAGTCATCGCCTCGATGTCCTCCTCCGTTTCCTCTGTCAGGGTCTCCAGAAATTCTAACTCTTCCATATTCCAGCGCTCGAAGTCTCCATCCGAAATATTTAGCGCTAACTTTAGTTCCTTGACGGCAGGGCTTAGGTCATCGATGATGCCAAGCGCTTGCTTATAGTTGTTGTACAAAAACTTGCCTAGAATTGGAGCGTCAAACACTAATTCAAGAACCTTAAATAATACCATACTTAGTTCCAGGTACCTATCAGAATCCCACTGCTGAAAGTGAAGGTCGATGAACTGAAGCCAGTGAAAATAAGATGCGTGGCGGATAATGGGAGCTACGGCATTTGATGCAGAGAATATGCGCTCGCACGTTTCGAGGTCCTCGAGGCCAAGGCCATGTTGATATAAAGGATGGAACCGAAGCTGACAACGGTGGTTGTGGGCATGTCCGTGAAATGAGTTGACAATGAAGCGATGATGATTGGAGTGCGCCTTGATGGAGATAGAACTGGCGTCAACAGTTTTCTGATAGGAACATCCGATATCGTATCCAGTTACTCCATTCAGACCGTAAACATCGAGAACTTTATTGGTTGTTGCGAGAGCATATTTAGCACTATAAAATTGTTGACATCAGATTATGAATGAGGGCTGAAGAAGGCTCACAGTTCCCCACTTCACCGCATCTCAACCAAGGTCTGGATCATGCCGTGTCGACAGGCACTGATGAAAATACCTGTTTGCTCGAAAACTTTGACAGTGTTGTCAGAAATTGTGTTTGCAGTCTTCCAATTGTCAGTGCATGTAGACTCTGAAACATCAGCCGGACTGATGCCTCCTGCTGTGTTAGTAACAACCGCTCGTGTTCCTGGCCGGAGTCGCACATCGTCCTTAAACACATCAACTTCATCGGGAGGTATCAAATATGATGATTCGAAGATGCGCTCATCAGCGTGTCCAGAGCCATCGACCCGTTTCAACGAGTTATTGCCGTCCATACTGTCCATCCTCGCAGGGATCAATGTTGGCTCATTCTCTTGCTGTAGCATAGTTCGCATCATATAATAATGATAATGATAATAAATGTACCTTGTAATTACATGCAGGGCACGAGTGAAGCATGCGCCAGTGAGGAGTATCACGCTTCAATGCAGTGTTAGCTAATTCTCGAACCCGCCGTAAAATATTGAGATAGGCATCGAAAGCTATTGCAAATTGATCCCGCAGCGCTTGAAAATACGAGCGCTAGAATGTAATATTAGAAACACAATAAACTTAGGTACACGTTACAAAAAACATACATTATGAAGGGCACAGAGTACTTTGACCATCGCCTGTACACTAAAAGATGGTTTGCGTCGACGGATTTGATGATATAACTCGAGGCATTGAAGCGAAACAGCTATTTTAGGCTGAATGGGGGAACACCCAAGAAGTCCCATATTAATGAGTGACACGTTCGCCAATTCATCAGCAGCTTGCAGGACTGATATCGAAGACACGGACGCTGAAATTTATGAGTGGCACTGTGATGTTAGGCATGAAAAAAAATGTACCTAGAATATCAACTGTGCTGACGTGGAACATGAATGTTCCAACTTCAACATTGGGTGTCGGTGTCGGTGTGGCTGCATGGTGCTTCCAGCGCAAGTAGCCTGCAACGAGGGCTGGCATTTGAGACATCCATGCACTGTGACAATGACGGTTGCGCTGGAGTCGACTGCGCAGTGGCCGGCGGTGGCGATATCTACCTTGTAAACTACACAAACCGTTATTCATAAAAACCACGAAAAAAAAGAAAGCTCACGAATATACAATGCGAGCTCGTGCAACATCAACCGCTGAGCCTTCGTATCCACCCATGTTATTTCCTCCTGATACACTCTCATCTTCCTCCTCCTGTAGCCCATCCTCCTCATCTACATAGTCTTCGTCTTCACCCATATCAAAGTCGATGTCAGGGTGGTCCGGATACTGAGCATCAGTGCTCGCATCATTTGCGGTGCCCACCTCGAGTGCAGCCTCAGCAAGGAGCTGCCTTGCAGTAATGTTGGCTTCTGTCTGATGGGTCAGCGAAATAATAAAATAGTTAGAGAATAGAAAAGACCAACCTAGCTGACTCTGGACCTGCTCCCTCTCAAACGCTATGCGATCAGCTCACAATTTCGTAAGGTTGGAGTGCAGAGTTCTAAGATCGCCAGTGGATTGCACGATGGCCTCCTTGACTTTGCCTACAGTCGAGAGCTTAGAACACTTGCGACCCATGTTGATAATGCTGAAGCTTGAGCGTGGGAGCTATAGCCCATCAGCAATGGTGTCGATAAACAAACATAATGTCCCGGGGAACCCCGAGGACTTCTGGCACCACCTTAGCGGCGGTCTAGGTCAACATAGTGCTAGAGTCTAGAGAACATTGTACATACCTCGTTGACTATAGTGATGAGAAGTTCCTCAACCGCGAAAGAAATGTCTGAAACAGGTGAGTCACAAATGAGTAACGAGGGCAACAGAGGTTAGGAAAGGAACTTGCTACGAAGACTGAGTGCGGCGCACTCATAGGGATCTTGATAACTCACAAATTGGTGTGTGTCGCCCTTGTAACCTATCAAAATAGCGGGTTGACCGCCCTTGTCAACAATGTTGAAGGGAAAGTGTTTCATGTCACGCTTTAATTCCAAGTCGTCCATCTTTCGACCAATAAGACGGCGCGTCGACAATGGGCTCGACAATGGGACAAGCGGATGCGCCCAATAGGGTATTCCCTACATGATGCAAAAGGACCACCTAAGATCAGACCAAAAATGAGGGCAGGAGACGCTGGAAATTGAGCTCACCATGGGTATTGTGAAGTAGCACGATGACGACCGGTTCAACAGCGTAGGAGAGGTGCCGGATACATTGGGTAGGCCAGTAGATATGCACTGCACGAGTCCCGCTGAAAAACGGATAAAAATTAAGGGTAGGAGAAGGGAAAGAATGAGCTCACTGTAGGTGTTGTTGAGTAGCACGATGGTGACCGGTCCAACAGCGTAGGATAGGTGTTGAATACACTAAGTAGGCCAGTGACTACACGCTACACAGATCCTGCTGAAAAACGGATGAAAATTAAAGGTAGGAGAGGCAAAGGAATGAGCTCATTGTCGTGGACGACGAGCAAAAGCTTACGAGAAATGAATTGACAGCGCCCAAAGCCTATTTTAGGCGGGTTAGGGATCAGCCGAGGCAGTGACGACAAGCTCGGACTTACCCGATAGAGTCTTCCCGTTATAGCAAACAACTATGGGGTAGAAATCGCCCAAGTGACTGCTGAGTGCTGGTATTATTGCTGGTAGCGTGGTAGATAGATATTCCTTACGAATTAGTAACAAGTACAGGTACGCAGTATTATTACTAATTAGTAAAATGAATGGTGTCACCCAGGTGAGAAATGAGCACAGAAGGTGCCGCTTAGTGGCCGATGCAAAGCGTGGGAAAGCGGCGGGTGTGCGTGCGGGAACAAAGCGGCGGCCGAAAGCCGAAGGCGCAGGAAGAATGCGGCTGTGAAGCGGCCGATGCACGAGTGGTTCAGATGATGATAGAGATGATAGACAATAGAAATAGATGTAAAGCGGACGATAACGGACGCGGTGCAAGCGGTAAACGGATACGGATTGCCAATAGCTACTAACTGTAGGCTAATGGGAGTTGCTACTGGAACGTCCGGAAAACAAGCTACTGAAAGATATGTACTGCTAGTGCTTAAGTATTGCACTAAGCGCTGTCAAGCGGAACCGAGCCAATGCGCTACCAAGTAGGGTATGTAAAGCTATATGTAAATAAGGGTCTATGACAAAATAAAGGTGGTGCGATGCGGAAATGGTCTGATATGTAAATATAATCATGGAATAACATACCATTGGGTTGGTTTTGGACTATGGATGGATGCGGAACGTCGGCCGATGAAGCGTGAGAAAAGCGCGGCTGTGCGCGCGCGCAGGAACACTGCGGCCATCGCGGGAAAGTAGCGGCCGCTAAGCGTGGCTCACAGGAAAGCTGCGCTTCATATAGTAAAGCAATAGGATGCTGAGGGACACTGCAAAATAGCCTCTACGAGGCTGTTAGGACTTCCAGTCCTACAGCGTATAAGGCTAATCCGGACAAGTCCGAACTAGAAACAAACAGAGGATAGACTATCCAAAGATAGAGGCAGAGATGTAGACTATCGGAATCGATCCGAAGTCTCAGAGATTGACAAGAGCTGATTAGACTCAAATCCGGAAGACAGAAAGAGGACAAACTAAGATGATATTCGAACTGAGGTACTACCGGACATATACACGAGTTTATATACTAAGGGATAACGGAAAGATCAGTAAGCAAGAGTCCGAGGCTATGTACGAAGCGTAAGCAAAGTTTATCAAATGCGACTCGGAAATGAAACATAGGTTAACGGATCAGTAAGCATAACCGGTAGTAAGTATAACCGAGATACCGGGAGTAAAGGAACACCGAATAAAGGAATAGGCTGTGTTTAACGTTATATGAACAGGAAATGAATTAAGAAGCTTATCGTATATCGGATCGGAAACAGATCTAATGGATCGGACCGGACCGGATCTAAGGTCCGAGGTCCGGATGAGAAGCGCGGATATATGGGATATGACAGTAGTATATAAACCCTGTAAAGTCTCTATACTTCCTCAGGCTGAATATTACACATATTAGTCCTTGCACTAGCCTTCACCCTAAGTCCTTGTAACAGTTCTAGTCCTCCGACTTAGTCATTATCCATCTCAGGCCTAGGGAGGCATTCCCTAGGCCAGAGCTCCGCTCCTCCGCTCCTCCGCTCCTCCACTCCTCCACTCCTCCACTCCTCCAATCCTCCAATCCACCATTCCTCCAAGTTTCCGGAAGTTCCTCCGGAACTTTCCCGCGGTCCTCCGGACCTATTCTGCTTCAGACTTTGTCCTTGCAGCCTTTCCTCTGTTTGCTTCTACTCAGGACAAGTCCTGAGTAGCCATTACACATATCCCTGTCAGGACGAAACTCCATCGTAATTTCCAGAAGTTCCTCCAGAACTTTCCCGCACTCATCTGGAAGTTTCTCGCACTCGTCCGGAAAGTCCTTCCGAAGTTTCCCACGCTCCTCTGGAAGTCCTTCGGACTTCACTGGACTTTCTCCGGACTTCATTCTGAAGTTAAGGGCACATACTTGGGTAAGGGGTGCAGCACACGAGCTGAAGCCAAGCCCCTTGGAATCAGTCCTACCCTTTGTGCACGGTCTTAACAGTGGTAATATTTGCAATGTCAACTAATAATTACAAAATATCTGTTTTGACGGTGTAACAAGACAACAATTGCTGGACAGTAAGTAACCAGCAATATACAAATGTTGTGGTCTGACACAGCCTAGTCTGCTATACTTGCAAGACAAGTGCGTTCAACCCAAGGGGCTCGCTGTAAGATATTAGAATAATTACACTATTGCAAGAAGTGTATGTTGACACCATTGTCAAATATTTCCATCTTGAAGACACAAAACCAGTGCATATTCCTATGGAAACTGGAATACAGCTGATGAAAGAACAGTCAGACCATTCACCAGGCACTGAATCTCAAATATCCGAACAACACATACCATACCAGAGAGCAATAGGATCACTAATGTACGCGGCAACTTGTACCAGGCCAGACATAGCACTGGCAGTATCAGTACTATTGCAATTCATGCGAGAACTGGCAAAGTTGCACTGGGAAGCAGCAAAGCGCATCATCCACTATCTGAAAGCAACAAAGAAAGCAAAGCTTACCTTGGGAGGAAAAGGAAAAGACCTAGAGGCTTATGTGGATGCAGATTGGGTAAGCCAAGCCCACAGGCACTCTATATCAGGATACATAGTCCTGCTGCACAGATCACTGATAGCCTGGAGCACGAGGAAGCAAACAATAATAGTGTTATCGACAGCAGAAGCTGAATACATCATGTTAATGTCTGTAATGAGGGAAGTGCTATACCTTCAGTCATCGCTGAAAGAACTTTTTGAAAGAAAAGACACACCTATCACTATCTATTCTGATAATCAAGGTGCTATCTCGAACAACAAGTTTCACGCTCAAATGAAACATATCGACATACACTATCATTTTATTCAGTCAGTAATTGAAAATGGCACAATTAGATTGGAGTATGTACCAACAGACAATAACCTCGCGGACACTTTCAGAAAGGCACTGCCAAAGCCGAGATTGGAAAGATTGAGAGAGGGGATGAAAGTAACCTGTGCTCAAGGGGGAGTGTTAGACTTACAGCATGATGGTCATGGTACTGTATAGTTTTGACACTAGCTTCAAGCCCATCTGCGCATGACCATGTCACACTTAGCTTCATAGCTTCAAACCTCAGTGTGACCTGTGACCATGCCTAAATAGGTTCATTACACTGGCTGTGACTGCACTGGCAGTGGCAACTCATGCCGACTGGCAGGGCAACTCTGGCGACCAGCACGGACTTCTATGCTCCTACATGTTGCTTCAGCTTAGTCGACATCATTTTGAGCTGCACATCCCACGAAGCATAGACTGATTGCAAACAAGATGTACAATGACTTATGGACCCATTAGAATAATATATATGTTTTTTTTCTGTTTTTACTACATGTCACAAATTAGCTTCACCTCCCAAAAATTTGCATGACAGTCACACCAAATAGGTTTGATTCAACAGAGCCTGTGACGTGTGACGAACCTAGTGTCAAAACTATACAGTACGAGCACAGGAGTAGAAAGATGACTAATATGACAAACAATATCACATGTAGGGAACAGTGTTTAGAATTACTGGTAATATCCAAAATGGAGAATATTTGTAAGCATAGCACAGAACAAACACAAGTCTGCTCAAGGACCTGGTAACATACTAGTATTAGTGAAAGGTAGTATATAAACTGTAACATTATTTACATTCAATTCAGTCAATATAATATTCAAATCCTACTCTAAAGTCTACAGCTACTTCTACAAAGTGATATGTTGCAGGTTGAGCTAATATCATGTCTTCCTTGACAGCAGAGGCCAAGGTGACAAAGGTCAGAATAGTTTCGAGTGAGAGTCCATGAATATTCGAAAGTGCTTGGCCTATACATGCAAGCTCGACCATTGTAACAACTGAAGAACTGATTGATACAATGTATACCAACAAATGTAACATTATGCTGTGTTTGGTGCTAAGTTATTTGCCACTGGCCGGACCTGACGGCCGGACCGGACTTTCGAGAAACCAGGTGCCCTCGTCCCTGTCCAGACCTAATCAAATTCTTGTTTCCGCAGTGAATTATTAGGGCTGCTCAATTCTAGCCTAGGCTCAGTTCGCGAGCTCAGCCCACTGAATTTACCTGTCAAACTTCAACATTTTTAAAAGGTCCACAACTCTGCTAAGAGCATGCCGACACCGCCACGCGTGAATCCAAGCTTCAAGCATGGTGCAACCAACACAGGCTGAACGGGCATCAGCAAAAGTGGTGCACCCTGGTCAGGCATTCCCAGGCTTGGCAAGACCCCCCTTGCCTGACGGACCTCACCGAGCCTGAACGTACCATATAGAGAACTACTCCCCAATGCCAGCTAGGTGCAAGGCTGTTCGAAGCACAGTCAGAATTAGAGCCTTCAGAGATCTTGAGGCGCCTTGTAATGATTGCCCATCCTTGGTATTCTTATCCAGGCTTGTACACTCACACCAGTCTGGTATCACACGGTAAGGCAATAGACGGAATGCAGTAGATTTCACATTGCTATTAATACAAAAGAAGGTACAAAGCTGGTGCAACAAAGCGATATGAGTCCAAGTCCAATTAAAATGATACCCATCTAAGCATGATTGAGAGCGTGGAGAGAGCAAGAAATGACGTCGACAGCGTGAATGCGGGAATGAGCTATGTGGAGAGTTCATGATGGGTAAATCTAGGCGCGAAATATGAACTAAAATCAGACCAAGTGAATGAGCAAGAAACAACCATACCTAAGCAGCCTTTCTACCACGACGAGGCACAGCCTTTTTCTTCTGAGGTATGACAGGTGCTGGTTCTTCAACATCAACTTGGGCACAGCTAGCAACAAGACGTGTGGGGCGGACACTCGACTTTGGCTTTGCAGGCTTGGGTTTCGGGACTACCTTTCGTCGTGCAGTCGGAGGTGGGTGATGATCAGTGGGAGCAGCAGGAGCATTGTCAGTGGTGGCAGGTTCGGAAGGAGCAGTAGCAGGTTCGGCAGGTTTCACAATGGAAGTGCCTGGCTTCAAGGATGGTGGGAGTTTAGGTGAAGGCAGGAGCGACAACGGCGATGATGGAGCAAGCGACGATAGCCTACTAGGTGGGGTGACAGGACGCTGACTTGGGGGAGGAACACTGACCGCAATACTGCCTACCAGTGCAGCATTGCTGGTTGCTGGAGTCAAGGGCTCTGGAGGAGGATGACGAGGTGGAGCACTGGCAACAGAATTGCTAGTCGCTGCAGTTGAGGGGGCTGCTTCTTTCCGGGTCGGCTTTGGACGAGGCAGACGAGGCGGAGCACTGGCAACAGGATTGCTAGTCGCTGTAGTTGAGGGGGCCCCTTGTTTGTGGGCAGCGCGTTTCGCCCGCATTTTTGCAAGATCAGAGTCAGCATCGTTCGAAGTGGCCATCATGGCCTTGGCTGCATGTTTGCCGAATACTTGTCTGTAATACTTGTTAGTAGACGTTGACAACAAACTGAATACATACTCGTTGATCCATTCGAGAGTTTCCACTGTCCACGGATCCTCAGCATCATCGAGTGTCTCAACGATGGCAAAAAAGAACTCTTCAAGGCTGAATGAGCCGATGGTGAGCCTGTATGAGTTGCAGCTGCATAGGGAGAACCATGCCTAGTGTTATAAATTAGTACGCTAGTCAAATGAAACAGTGAACACTCACCACACACATAGCCCAGGCCCACGACTGCGGTGTTACCTTTGTTAGTCCATACATGGTGCACTTCGACTTTCCTCCACCATGTTTGCCATCTTTGTCGTCATTATCTTGTAATCCTGCAGCAGCAGGTCCTAAGTATAGATGCTGAAATGCCTGCAAAAAGTCAGTGAATCGATGTGTCAAGTGACTGGAGTCTAAACAGTACGTACCCTGATACCTGCGTGTCCACAAAACAGGCCAATGATTGGATCTTCCGCGTCGTAAACAGCATCAGCTGGATAGAGAAAAGATGGCCAGTTGCCAGTTGGTAGCCAGAAGAGGCCATGCTCCATCTTGCAGACATTGTATCCCTCTATAAGTAGAGCCTGAATTACATGACACGTTGTGAGCTAAGAAATACTTGCAGGTCTGCGTCATCGTCAAATTCATTGAGCCATTTCTTGGGGCACAGTTCACGCGCTAGTCGGGGATGATTGACGCCACGGTTTGACTTGCAGGACGACTTTGGGATGGGAGGTTGGAGGGTATCAGTGCTGCAGTTAGCGAGAATATACTCAAGCATTGAGTACTTCAGGGATGAAAAGTCGTCAGAGCGTTGTGAGCTCATTGAACTACTGATCTATAAGTTTGTAGTTGTCAGTTAGGTGCATATATGCGCATATATGCGTCAACTCACCGCTGTAATGTAAGGTTTGAGTTCGTCGTACGACAGGTCATCGAGATTCGCACGAAAACCCGGAACGAAATCTAGAATAGTGTTGTAGAATGCGAGAAATCGTCTCTGTTGTTCTTCAGATCTGGCAAACAAATCAGCTTAAGTACCAAGGCCGAAGGTGACTTACATGTTGGAACTGGATGAACCACCCTTATCAAGGGTCATCCCGTAATGAAATGCAAGCGACATGTTCGCAAATGGACTTAAGGTGACAACTGCCTTGCGCCCGGCAGTGCAATATTCTGATAATGCATCGCTCAACCTTGAGTCGCGTGATAGGGGTAAGCTCATGATCATGCATGAATACTATGAAACTTACTTTATCTTCTTCTGTCTGCCCGTGGCAGTCAGATTATCAAGGATCTCATCCGTTGCAACACGTTTTTTGGAGCTGGAGGTTGGCAATGACATGTCAGAGTCTGCTGAAGATGCACGTTTTTTGGAGCTAGACTTTTCCAATGACGTGCGGTTAGAATTTGATGAAGACGCGCGTTTTGTGGAGTTATAGGTTGACAACGATGCGTCGGAGTCTGACGAAGACATGGTAGGGTGAGGTGAAGGGCTCAGGGGAAAATCGAGGGAGTGTTATCACTGCATATATCAGAATTTAAAAATATTGATGGCTGCGGAGTTTCAAGATCATCAAAAACATTGAATTACGATGCTAGTAGTACATGACAATATAAGTGCGACAGCAATAACAGACGATAACCTGCAAAAGAACGTTGCAAAAGAGTGATACAGTGCAAGAAGAAATTCAGTCCGATTAGTTGAGCTTTAAGGCTTCTACAGCTGCAGGTATGGTCATGAGCGCATCAATTTGAGTGATCTGTGTCCTGCTAGAGCTCTCCCTGAACCCACGGCGAGGAAGCCACGTATAGTCGTGATCGTCCTGGAATTTCTTCCGGATAAGGACGATACTGGGAGGGTCCTTGGGGACGACATGCAGCACGACGGGCCTGGCGCTGATGTGCTGAGACATATCTGAGTCCCTGAATGCACGATATTAGTTGAGCCAATGTTGCAATAATGAATAAAAAGACTTACTTGGGCTCTTAACCAACAAAATCAAGTTCGCACGAGGTATTGCAAAGCAACAGCGCCGGGAACGACTTTTATACAAACTTCAACAGAAAGCCCAGGATGCTAGGGATACAGATTCACGTCCAACAGTCAATTTCTCCAAACAAGAAGTGCTACCACAGTGTTCCCCAGAGTCCCAGTACCAAATTTCCAATTCACGTCGCCTCTACTGGGACCTTACAGCCTGGCTCCATAAGAACCGTGAAGACCTCGCAGTCAAGGCATGTTCTCACCTGCTCTCGCATTTTTTTTCTAACTTTTGTGACAGGACTTTTTACCATGCCTCAAAGATCACATTCTCACTCGGCTGCTTGGTTCTGATGACGACAGCGAGCAAACATTCACACCTGCGCAGCGCAACTCACTTATTATCATCGACAACAAGATATACAGGCACAAAGTGCTTCGAATCAATTATACAACATATGACCTTCGTCGGGCCCAAGACTCACTCAACCCCCGTGTGCATGCTGATATCATGGTCCTTGCGAATGAGGAGAGCCAGCCTGGTGAGCTTGCACCACATCCATACTGGTATGCACGTATTGTGGGGATTTTTCACGTCTATGTGAGATATCTTGGTGCTCAGTCTCGCAGTCGAACATCACAGCGCATTGATTTTCTTTGGGTGCGCTGGTTTTGCTGAGATTCCAATCACAATTCTGGTTGGGCAGCACGACGGCTGCATCGGATCGGCTTCTTTGATGCACACGAAGTAGGAGCAGAAGCATTTGGATTTATTGACCCATAGCAAGTCATACGAGCCGTCCACCTAATCCCAGCATATGACAAGCGCTACACATACAATCTGCTTCCTCCATCAATCGCCCGACAGCCGCGTGACCTCGATGCAGACTTTAATTGGTATTATGTCAATCAGTGCGAGTTTTTCTTTGAGATATACTTTTCATGCTTACCACAGTTAGATTCGTGGATCGTGATATGTTTATGCGCTTTCGAGGCGGTGGTGTCGGACACAAGACCACCCGAGAGGCAACACGAAGTTTCTATGAGGACCGAGATGCACTCGACTCAGTACCATTCACAAAGGAAAGTGAACGTACTGGAATGTTTTATGTGCCAGGATCACCTATGAACGAGGACGAAGTGTCCTATCACACGGCCAACCAGGACATAGACGAAGATATGCACAGCCATTCTACTGGCAGAGACTCCGCTGATATGGATGAGGATGAAGAGGCCACCGGACAACGTGGTGATACTGATGAAGTCGGGGAGAACGAGCCTGTTGTTCAGCTCAATGGCGAGGAAGATTCGGATGACGAAGCTGATGAGGATGCAAGCTCAGAATTAGAGGACGAGCGCAGCGAATTTGGTTACGGAGATTTGGAGGAGCACGTAATAGAGGGGGAGGACGACGATGAAGACAATAGTGATGATGATAGCGAGATTGATCTTGGTGCTGAGGATGGAGAAGGTGCTGCAGATAATGAGGAGGACTATGATGACTATGGAGAGTATTAAAACACACCATGATAGTCCGAATGTGATGTATTTTTTAGTATATAACACTTCGCAGCACATCCGTCGTTACTACTAATCTTCAAGGTATTTCGTGGCTGCGAGCAATTTGGCAGGCCTTGTAATGCCTGGCGCGACGCCTGCAAGGCCTGTGGCCATATTTAGAAGCCTACGCCAGGCTTACGGCATCTGCCGAGGCCTTGTCAACTTTTGCCGCTTTTGCTGATGGGGCACTGGGAGTACTACTTGGAGTTGGCGAGTTGGACGGCTGCGAACGTGCAAGCTAGTAATAGTGTAAGTTTGTCTGATCATTACGAATGATATACACTTAGTACAGCAACTTGAAGGAGAGCCTGTGCATACTCACATTAGAAAGTAACTATTATGGGTATGAGCTGTAAGTTCACGTTCCCGCTAACTTAGTACCTGGGCCGCTAGCGATGGTTTCTCCTATACCGGTGTTGATAGATGGGCCGTGTACCTGTCATGATCAAACATTCAACGATGACAGGTACTCGCGAGTGAGCCTAGGCTAGACCCTAACGGAATGATCTTAATTCTGCTGTGTCAAGTACTGTAACTTGTATCTCGTTATAATACTGCTCGGAACCTACTTTGAAAACTGACTTTAAACACAGCAAGTCTTAGATCATTTTTTCTCTGCATACACTAACCTTTTGTAAAACATGACTGCAGGATCAGATTCGCACTAGCCCAAAGAACATTTTTCGGGGGTTGGCCAAATTTTGACCAGTCGAAAAGTTGGACCTTGCCTGAGAGAGATTGGCTCGTGCAAATCACTTCGTAATGTCCTAAATACATTAATGTCTGTGGCGTTAAATGTCTAAAAATCGAAGACCAAATTTGTTGAGTTTGCCTGTCCGCAACTGCAGTGTAGGCCGGCTTTATACTGTGAGTTGTTCTCTGAGCGAATATTTGAAATGAAAACATTGATACTTTGCAGATTCGGGGCCGACGACACTCATCCGGGTCTTCCTTCGTACCTTGCGCTCAGACTCTCTACTCGTCATCCCGTGCTTTCGTTTCGGCTCCCTCGGTCTTCGTGTCGGGTCGTTACATGCTTCGGCTCGTGCAATCTTTCCAAAAAAAACTCGAGTCCGTAATCAATCCCTGGACTATCCCAAACTGTGCTGCTCAATGAGCGGGTAAAGTTGTAATGATGCCGACAATAGAATTTCCCTGCACGTCACCCTTCGCCTGGATCTCCTGTTGAATCTTAGATAACTGTTCAATAGTATTTTCCGAACAACCGCACGCGCCCTTTAAAACTGTATGCCCTTGTCATTGGACACATACCAAACAGTATCCTAGATTCAGACATGACATCCTACACATCGCGTGCAGGAGTACCCTTCACTTCTAGCTCTGTGGATAGTTCTACAGGCAGCATTGGGGGTGTTATCGCTTCATGTGCGTACTAAAATTGTTCCTGCTGATCTACAGTTAGTCTTACTCCAAATACAGACCGTCGCTCGCAATTTTTTGCCAGTTCAAATATACCGTATAACGCTCATTTTTCTGACGAGGGGTCGGATGAAGAGGCTCGCGTTGGAGAAGATGACGAGGAAGGCGAGTTAATTCAAATGTCCAGGGACGATATGACAGAGTTCTGGGACTGGGACGAAACGTCGCGTCCAGTCTTACAACGTGCACGAACTTTTATCCCCCAACGGCCTGTTGAGACACGGGAAATCACTGCTACTAGCGCAAGTCAACTCGCTCGATCAACCAGTGACGAAGCTGTTCCTTTACTTCAAGCATCTCCCACATCTAATCAAGTCAGTTATGGGGGATCTGATTCAGACACGTACGTCGGTGAAGAGTCACATGACCAAACAGATCGGTCTATACTACAGCGCAAGTCGTCAGGTACCCTGAGGCAACCACACAACTACGGAGGACAAAGTACCTACGGGCAGACAGTAGGTGTTGTGATTCGATCGTAAATATATCTGCTAATTCCGATTGGTTGCTCAGTTATTCAACAGCATCGCGATATTATTGGGCATTGGAGTACTATCCGAGCCCCTAGCCTTCGCATATGCCGGTTGGATCGGTGGAACGGCTCTCATTGTATTTATGGGCTTTTTGAATTGCTATACGTCAGTTGAACTCGCACTAGTTAACTATATTTTCCCACTCATCGCACGCAACAGTGCTAAGATTCTTGCTGGTATCATCTTGGAAGACCCTCATTTGAGGTCATACGCCGATATTGGTCGCAAGGCGTTTGGTCCAAAGTCAACTGCCCTGACCACGATTATGTTTTGTCTTGAGCTTTTTGCCGTCAGGTCAGCGTGTTTTCTAAACGACTTGGCCATATTGTTCATGTTTCTTTAGCGTTGCTTTCGTCACTCTAGCCGCTGACTCCATGCACGAAATCATGCCAGCGTATTCTTCAAACACATTTAAAATCGCGTCCATAGTCTTGTAAGTACTTCCTGATGCTGTCAACACAATTCTCATGGTTATTTGACCCTTTGAACTATAGATTAGCACCGCTGGTTTTTCTACCGCTTTCTATGCTCTCTTATACCTCGATATTTGGCATCTGTTCGACGCTCCTTATCATTGCGGTCGTTTTCATAGATGGCTTTTCTAAGCCGGATGCTCCTGGTAGTCTCTGGAGTCCGGCCGTGACGTCATGGGGGACTGGCTCCATGACAGAGCTTGGAATTGCTTTTGGCTTGTTTATGGCTGGTGTATGCCTCATCTTCCATACGGTTCCCGAGACATGTCACTCATTGTCAATGTTTTAGTTCTCTGGCCATGCTGTAGTACCATCGCTGGCCCGTGATATGGTTGATCCTTCCGAGTTTGATAATATGATCAACTGGGCCTTCGTGAGTAAATTTGCTTATTTTTTAACTTATTGTTCACCATTTCCCAATCTCAATAGATCGCTACCACATTCATCTATGGCATCATTGGTTATGCTGGGTATTTCATGTTTGGACGGAACGTGAGCGACGAAGTGAGCTTTATGATCTCAACCTTTGGATGACAACCCGTGACGTTGACGACGCATTTAGGTCAGCAAGGACCTCATGAACACTCCTGGTTATACCTCATGGATCAATGAAATCGCACTGTGGACGTTGGTGTCAACCCCTATGTGAGTTTCAGAAGTTGCCCACCTTTCCTAACACTGACACTTTTGTCAACAGCACGAAGTTCCCTCTCAGCACGCGGCCAGTGAGTGATATGCACTTGTCCTAAAGAACCGAACACTGATGAGCTTCCGCCTAGCTCAATATCATCCTCGAAATCATGCTCGGTATAGATAATCATGCGCCATTGCAGGGTGGTATCAAACCCCAGCTGGATACTCAACCTTCTACCGCTCATCGGCTTTTGAATCGTGTATTCTTCATTGTCGAGCGCATATCTGTCCCCGTGCTGACTATTTTGGTGTCGATCCTCGTTCCAGAGTTTAGCTCCCTTATGGCCTTCCTCGGTTCATTCTCGGCCTTCATGATCTGCGTCATTGGTCCTATATCGGCCAAAATTGCCCTCGAGGGAAGGTGTAGCTTGACTGATGCTTCATTCCTCGCAATAGCCATTGTGATGGCAACTTGGGGTACGCTCGCTACATTTTGGGCAGCGTGAAATTCTCTTTGGTTTCGGGGAAATGCAGACGGATACCCTTTTAAATTTTGGTAATTCATTAGTGCCCTTTGAGTCTCAAACTTCATTTTCTTTCCCTTGCGTTTCTCGATTAATATCACGCAGATACGTAGTACTATACATCGTGTATTAGTAAGGCAATCATACTCCTCACTGCGGATCTGGTGGTAGAGATAATCCTCGAGAATGCCGACATTTGATGGGTTGTAACGGTCTGGGATTGCGTATGAATGCCAGATCGTGAAGAATTCACAATTACCCACCAATACCGGATACCAGATTTTCAATAAGCTCTGTCCGTGAAGGAAGCGCAAGCCACGCGGCTGTTGCTGCCATCGCCGCGTTGTTTTTGAAGCTGAAATAAAAAGTTGATGGACCCCAGACACCGGGACTTCGTTTAACCATGAGTCCTTTTCAATAGTAGCATCGTCTGTGCAGGTACGTAGTACTACCAAACTGAGGACTGACATTTTATTCATCCAGCAACTTTTTAGTTGCTGATGGCAGCCGAAGACAATTGTTCGATGAACGGGCCTAACGGAGACACCCTGCAAACTGATGTTGTTGTGTCAAATGAGAGCTCAGACGAAGGGGTCGAGGAAACAACTTCAAACCATCATCTTCCGAACGGGCGCATGCAGTCTACGCCTGTTCCAGATGCACCAATGCCGAAGACAGACAGATCAAGGCCACAATATGCAGTAAAGTACATTCTGAGCGGACACACTATGGCAATATCCTCCCTCAAGTTCAGTCCAGACGGCACCATGCTTGCTTCATCAGGTGCGCCTCTTTGCCCTACTAAATGGTTGCGCGCTGTCGACCCTGAAAACTTTGGAAGCAAGCCGCGGACAAACTGGTGAAGCTGTGGGATGCATACTCAGGGGAAATACTGAGAACTTTCGAAGGCCATACTGAGGGTGTTAATGATGTCGCCTGGTCCAACGATGGGGAACTTCTTGCCTCCGCATCGGATGATAAAAGTGTTATACTTTGGAGCTTAGAGACGGTGCGCTGCCTCTATTTCGGTCCCGTCCGCCATTAAACCTTTTATTTCAGAATTCTGCTGTGAAAACCCTACTAGGGCACACCAATTTCGTCTTTTGCGTCAACTTCAATCCCCGATCTAATCTTATGGTCACCGGGGGATATGATGAAACTGTTCGCGTCTGGGATGTAGCAAGAGGTCCGTCGATTTGGCTTACGCATTGAATATAAGCCGAATGATTATTAGGGAAATCCTTGAAAGTTCTTCCTGCCCACTCTGATCCTGTGACTGCTGTCAGTTTTAATCACGACGGAACGCTTATAGTATCCTGCGCGATGGATGGACTGATGTAAGTGCATCAGGCTGTTGTAAGGTATTTCTCTGACGAAATGTAGACGAATTTGGGATGCTGATTCCGGGCAGTGTTTGAAGACTATTGTTGATGACGATAACCCCATATGGTGAATGCCTTTTGCCATGTTTTCATGTGGTATTGACTCAGTGCTCTCAGTTCACATGTCAAATTCTCTCCTAACTCGAAATTTATCCTATCAGCAACTCAGGACTCGACGATCAGGCTTTGGGACTATCAGAAGACACGTTGCGTCAAAACGTACACTGGTCACACCAACAGGACATATTGTCTGTTCACTTGCTTCAGCACCACTCGGGGATTATACGTAGTGAGCGGTAGCGAGGACGCAAAGATATATATATGGGACTTGCAGAGTCGCGAAGTGCTACAGGTTCTCGAGGGCCATAGAGGTACATTTCTTTAGTTCCACTGTGTTTAATGGCTGATGTGGTTTGCGCAGATGCTGTCTTAGCAATTGCGGTAAGAAAAGCCTCGGCATAAGCTTGTCATAGACTGAAATTACCACTCAGACTCATCCTATTCGTAACATCATGGCTTCTGCTTCAATGGAGAAAGACCTGACGATTAGGCTGTGGTATGATGAATGAGCTGACTAGTTCAAGGACACCGGATCTCAAAGATTAACATTGAAAACAAAAATAGTTGACTTGGGCGGCCCACAGTATGTTCTAGCAAAATATTAATAGTCTCGGCAAAGATGTGGGCTCAGCGGAAATTTTTGGGAAAGAATGGTCCACGCGTGCTGTAAGTATAGCCTGTCGGCGGTGCACTTGACACTACCACAATTAGGTGGGCTGTGGTCCAGTGGCGTATATGGGGTCATTTAAACTCCGCTCCGTAGTATATAAACACATTACTCATCTAGTGTCATTAACGTTAAGCATCTCACCAACATTCACAACCTCCTCATACTCTCAGCTTCAGGTTAGTCCTTGATCGCTTGCTTCTACATGTATGTGAGACTGATGATGAGTTTACAGGATGCAGATTTTTGTCAAGACCCTCACCGGCAAGACCATCACGTTAGAGGTCGAGTCTTCTGACACCATTGATAACGTCAAGGCCAAAATCCAAGACAAAGAGGGGTGTGTATGCCATATCAGAGATCGAGACTAGCAGTTGACCGTCGTGTCGCAGTATTCCTCCCGACCAGCAGCGTCTTATCTTCGCTGGCAAGCAGCTTGAAGATGGTCGCACGCTGTCGGATTACAACATCCAGAAGGAGTCCACCCTTCACCTAGTCTTGCGTCTCCGCGGGGGCATGCAAATCTTCGTCAAGACCCTCACGGGTAAGACGATCACCTTGGAGGTGGAATCATCGGACACCATCGACAACGTAAAGGCGAAGATTCAAGATAAAGAAGGCATTCCTCCTGACCAGCAGCGCCTCATCTTTGCCGGAAAGCAGTTGGAAGACGGCCGCACACTCTCAGATTATAACATTCAGAAGGAATCCACCCTTCACCTCGTACTACGTCTCCGTGGAGGCATGCAAATCTTCGTCAAGACCCTCACGGGTAAGACAATCACTTTGGAGGTGGAATCATCGGACACCATCGACAATGTGAAGGCGAAGATTCAGGACAAGGAAGGCATTCCTCCTGATCAGCAACGCCTTATCTTTGCTGGAAAGCAGTTGGAAGACGGTCGCACGCTTTCGGATTACAACATCCAGAAGGAGTCTACGCTTCACTTGGTCTTACGTCTCCGCGGAGGCATGCAAATCTTCGTTAAGACCCTCACAGGGAAAACCATCACTTTGGAGGTTGAGTCATCTGATACCATCGACAATGTGAAGGCAAAGATTCAGGACAAGGAAGGCATTCCTCCTGACCAGCAACGCCTTATCTTCGCGGGAAAGCAGTTGGAAGACGGTCGTACACTCTCTGATTATAACATTCAGAAGGAGAGTACCCTTCACCTTGTCCTACGTCTTCGTGGTGGTTGTTAGTTTGGGCGTTGTGGTGGCATGCCTCTAATTACGGATATTGATTGTACCATTACCCTTTCCATGATACTTCGAATGTATACGTGTTTCCTGCGATGGAATAAGACGGTTTCCACCTGGAGTCAGCATTCCTGGATGAATCCCATAACATAATGACTACGGTGAAGATGGTGAAACGGCACGGGCCTTTCTACGCCTCTTCCTCGTCCTGGTTGAGGCAATGTTTTGGGCTGCATTGGTCATTCCTACACTTTGTTCTTCACACTTATCATCATGAGAATCACGTTTCCGTTTCTGCCCTGGCAATTGAGTGCTCAAGGAAGTATCTAACAACTCGGCCTTGGTGTTTTGCGAAGGTCGGGTAGAGGTTTCTGCATTTGAATTCTTTTTCTTCTTGACGCTCAGAGGATTGGGCCCCTTTGGGCCCTTCCTTTTCTTTGGTACTGGTTTATCCTGGGGTACGGTCGCAAGCTCTGGGGCAGACGGGCGAAGCGATTGTTCCTCAGTCTAGCAGCAACATTAATTTCAGACGTGATTGTATTTCGAGAGATCCTACCAGTTCCTTGGCTTTCAGCGTAGCTTCGCTCGGTGGCTCGAGTACCATGACCGCGCGATTTATATGAATTACAGGTACCGCAGGTATGATGCGCAGTCCATTGCGTAGGGATTGCGATTGCGTAGCGACCACATACCGGTGCTTGTTGGTATCCCCTTGATGAGCAGGTGCAGTGATCAGATCCTGTGAGTGACCATAGGGATGGAACAGTGCGCACCTACTACGCTCGAGAGGCATTCGTCTCCGGGGATAGCCTCTCGATGGTTGCATTTGCGGCGTTCGAACGTCTTTGCGAGGTCAACGGCAGATTGCTGCGCTTTTCCTTGGAGATACAACTCGTGCATACAGCATTGCGTGATCACTGAAAATATACTTGTCAGACGTTTAGCAAACGACATTGCGGGCGTATGAGAAGACTCACTTGGTTTCACATTTCCCTGGAGCACGGTAGAAAACTGTTTGATGAGATCCAGCTTTGCATCTATAGCTATTTGGCACATTTCCGAGTCCACTGTGGAAGGACTTAGGGTGATGCAACTGTTTGTCACGCTATGGACATACCGAGAATCTGATAAGGCTGTCTGAATCCAAAAGACATGGAATACAGATGCATTAGTTTGCGGTATGTCTTGGCCCGCTTTTGACGCATCGTTGGTCGGTCTGCTGTTGCAAGCAGAGGACAGTATCATGCATATTGATCTTGATTTGTTGTTTGGTGTTGTTGTCGGACTCCAAAGGGAGTCGTAGCCGCCAACTTGAAGCGTTTGACGCGTGGATAGTAATGAAGATGGTGCGCACCCTTTCGTTGTTGGGCTTCCTTCTCTCGTGGTCAAGGCAAGTCCAATAGCTTTGTCTCTAATACTCCGCTTATTGTCCTCTATAGTATCACCTTTGCCGTAGAATTACACGGGTACATACAATGGAATAAGCTGTGTCCTGGTGAGTCCTCCGTACCGACTGCGTGGCATGCACCTCACATCGCAGTAACCAGACTATGGGGCGCTTGCATCTGCCAAGGTCCTTCTTGATTCAGGAAGGATATCAGGACGCGTCACACGCAATGGAAACTTTTCAATGTAAGGCTGCGTTTCTTTAGAGCACGTTCCCACCTCCACCTCGAACTTGCACACAGACTAGATGTCCCCCCAGGGACATATGTTCTCTCCGTACTATCCCATGATTATTCGTTTGACCATGTAAGTCCTCCCTCTGTTTTTGGGCGGTGCTCATGAGACCCAACTAGGTTCGAATAGATGTCCCTCCTTCCGAGACTCTGCCAGAAGTCCGACCGTACATATTCGGCACTCCTCTGCTTACGACGACCTCCTTTAACCTTCCCTATCCAATCGTGCTGACCCCCCGTCACAAGAACAGATACTTCTCGCCTCGCGAATCCTTCAATCTCCTGGGGATGTTCCAGAGCCCAATGATGATGATCATGGTATTGACTAGCGTGATGATGCTTGCAATGCCCTATATCGTGGTGAGCTTATGTGTGTATGATTTGCTTTCCGCTCTCATGATGGTGCAGAAACAATTGGACCCGGAAACACTCGACGGACTGAAAGGACACGCGACGACTGCGAGTATAGAGAAGTCCATCCAGAATGGCGATCCCAGAGGGTACGTATCCATTGTATGCAATCCATGAGTTGACATGCCTATATCTATATACAATAGGCTATCTGCTCTTCTCTCTGCTGGTGAAGAAACTAAAGCAAGCACGCCTGTCGCAAAGTCCAATACAGGCCCTTCAACGCTTCAACAACGAAAAGGTGGTAAAGGCAATAAACGTCGATGACATATACTCCTACATTTCTTTCATAGAAGGGGAGAAGTGGCTGTGGTTGGAATATGATGTATTACATGCGTGAAACTACGTCGGACGTGGTGATCTGGGCCGTGAGCTAGACCGAGATGGCGGGATACCACCGGCCTTCCCGATTCCGGGGTAATCGAAGACACAACGAAGCACCGTATTTCTGTGAAGATTATAGAGCCTGAGACTTGACAGTTAAACTGAGCAGACCTCTGTTTGAACCGAGCAACTATTGCTTGGGGATTCTGTAAGGAGACATGGGATGACTCCATGCTTAAGCTGAGGAGGAAACTAAGTCTCATCAAGTCGTCTGGCAAAAAAGGAACCACTCACTGGTCGTCAGAAGTGGATGTAACTTCTAAAACATACATATTATCGTTTGCGCTGTGTTCCTCATTGGCGCTAGCGCCAGGTGCCACAGATACCTTGATGCCTGTTACAGCCATATGACTAGAAGTGCTCTGAACCGTTGGTGTGTCCCCCTTTGCTGGATCATGATTTAACACAAGGACATGCTCGTCAGGATGACGCGACAAGAGGATCAAAGGTGAGTCGTCCGCATAGCGATATTCTATGCTTGCATGCGCGAGGGAGTTGGAAATAAGACCAGAGCTGTGCTGAAAAGATGAATGAGATACCAAGAGGTAGTAGGGTGGTTCCGTAGAAGTCGTCATGTACGTTGTCCTAAGTCATAACTGGAGTACTTGTTGGACGATAGTTTTACGTAATACAAAGCAATTGAAGCCACCAAGACACTTTGTGCATGTCATACTTAGTAGTTGAATGCGAAAACCATCACTTCGAGCGCAGGCTTGGATCTCTGACATCTGCTATGCACTCCTTGTCCTTGTTACTGGTTGTTTCTTTGCCATATCATGTGCCTTGTTGTTGTCGCAGGCCATCAGAACTTCACCCGTCAGATCTTGGACAAACGACTGGGATGCTGTAATCATTGCAGCAACATACTTGCTTGTGGTAAGCTTTGTTTACAAAATGTAGGTAGCTTCTCACTATAGCGCTGTCCAATTAACTGTAGTGCATCATATCCATCGCCCTCTGTGTGAAACGGCGAATTGCAGTGCGTCGCCGATTGCAGAGGATTGCGACGACGCACTATTCGATCGTTAGGAAGGAAGTTCCTCAGGTGCGTCAAAATTATTAAGTTTTAAGATGTAGGCATGTGCTCTAAATATCCGTAAAGCCCGTTCATGAGTATATTTCACAAGAATTTGCGCGTTCTTGCTTGGTGGCATATGAATCACAGCCACGCAATACAGTCCACAGTGGGTGGGGTAGACCAGGTAAGCATGGGATCATGTTCTCTGATCATTGATTTCCAAACGTACAGCAGGAACTAGACTTAGCGGTATTCGTTTTCGACGCGCTCTTCTTGATACGATCGCGGAAATTGGTAGGCAACACTACTTCTGCACATTACGTAGTTTTGATCTGGTCAGACGCCCGAGCACGTCTCATTATACCCAGTCATCCAAATTTGAAACCCCATGCACGCATGCTGCATCATTTCAGGTTTCTTCTACCACTCCTGCCAAAGGATGAAGATGGCCACTCGGAATTGCATTACTACGATTCAGCCATACAACTTGCGCGAACGGTAGACAGGGAACCGACGGAAGAAGAATATCAGCGGGGAATGGACGCTGTTGCTTCCATTTTACAGATGTGCGTGTCAACCCAGTGTCTGTTTAGAAACGTTGTACTGACTATTGCAAGCAGGTTGTGGGAGTGCAGGTCGGAGATGCTGGAAGAGTCCAGGATGCAAACGAATAGCGTGATTTCATGAAAGCCTCGTCCTAGAGGACCCACAGTCGGTCCATATCTGCCAACTCCTCATCCTTGTACCCTATCGCATGGAACGTCTGGCACTGGACATTTCTAGAACATCTCCGTATTTAAATAGCATGTACGCAAGTAATTCCAAGCATATCCACCTGCCACCTGCTACCTAATTTATTCAAACGGTAATAAACTTTCGCAGGACAGTCGCCGTCAACGAGAGACATCCATGAATGGTCCAGAGTAGAAGTATGAATCCTTACTGTCATCTCATGTATCACTGATTTTTCTGAAATTTAGTATGGTCTCCTAGGTGAAGAGTCTTGCGCCTCTCATAGCGAGCTTTAATATGTAGTTGCGATCCTTCGCAGTATTACTGATGCTCGTTTCCGTCATATACCTGCGTACTGTTGGTAAATTTCCGCGTAAATGATGAGCATGTTTCGTGACAGCATGACAGTGCAGAGCGCAATTGAGTTCCCCGCTGCATATAGTGAGATTTCTACTCGTCCATCTCCTGTACAAGTAATATATGTAAAATAATGTATGTGATTTCTCGTCACTAGTATCTGGTCGATCCGTGATCTAAAATACACTTTCAATGCAGTCCATTAGCATACACCTCTTGCCAACTCTGCCGCTTACTCCATGCCTTCCAGTATGACACAACTTTTTCCGGGGTTGGCTTACCCAGCTCTGTTTCGATAGCACGCACACCATCCTTGCTCGAGTCTGCTCCACCAGCAACGAAGACAATGCGCGCCAGCCAGGCCGCAAGATGGAAGTCATCTTCGCCGGGTTTGTCGCCTCCAAGGAAACCGCCCTCCGGAAGTATGTCAGGGAGTTCTTCCAGAATGAAGGCCTTCAATGTGTCCCAGTGAGCCCTAGAAAACTCGAAGAAACTGTTCTTGACATTCTCTGGTGCCTTGGATTGGTAAATCGACAGAACCTTGCCGTTCTCAGCGATCTTTGTGTCGCAAAACTCCCGGTAGTCAGCGCTCTGGGAGGTTTCTGAGTGCTTTTCTAGTGCGTTTTGACCTAAGGCAGATAAGATAAGCTAGATACAGGGGTAGCCCTGCAGTACTTACGGTTTTGGATGAACGTCATAGAAAATCCAGACGCTTTGCTTCGCAGTTCGTCCTCGTGACGCTGAAGTCAAAATTGTCAATAAGACATACCCCGTCTGATTGCAATGTGTCATACAGCTGACACCATGAGGAAATTCGGGTCGTACTGCTCTTCATGAATTTTGTTGATGAAGTCAGTCCCGGGGACGACAGCGACACGGTTACTAGCGTGGGCCACAAGGTACGATGTCACCTCAGCAGTACTGGTGTATGCCTTTCCTCCGGCTTGAAAGGTTGGTAATGTCCCTCGGGGATTCTGGTAGAGCGATAAGCGGTCAATATTTCTGTAGGATGAAGACTTACGATCTTCAGGAAGGCAGGAACAAAGTTCTCACCCTCCGCGAGGTTCACGACCTTCTTCTTGATATCATCTTGGTCGTATCCCAGCTCAATCCTGGGATGGAATCAGCGTTGCTTGGACGTGGGTCACGTGGCACATCAGACTCACAAGGCAAGCTCTGGCACGGAAGCCCAGACGGAAGGACCAAATGTGTAGAGGATGGAGTTTGACATTTGTCAATATGAAGGGTAAAATAATGATATGATATGGGAGAAAGTCAGGTACTGAGGATGCTGACTGAAGTCTCCTGTCGCCGCCTAGTTAGTTGGTCGGCCTGACACGTGACAGACAGGCTGCCCAGGTAACAAGTTACAGTAGTGACTAGGACTGTAAGCTGGGTCTGGTTCAATATCTGACCAAAACACTGCTGGAGCAGAGCGCTGAGCACTTGCGCTGACAGGCTAAGTTATCAAGCTTAAGTCAAGGGTTAGGCTGCATCACAGCGGTGCAACGTGGGTTCGCCTCAGTTCGGAGTATTATGTAGTCCGGCGAACCCAAATTCCTACTCTGATCGTCATCCGAAGCCTTCGAGCGACTTCACCTGTAGCTACTGCACTCGTGAGGCCACAGTAGATTAGAACTTATTCAAACAGGCCGATGTCCCGTGTGGTTACGCAGTGGTCAGGGACTCTGCCATTCGTCATATGAGGTGTTTGCTCCTAAACCGCACGTCCCGCTAAGTATAAAACCAAAAGCCAATTGTATTAGTTCGATTACGTTGCCAAATCTACTCCAGGCGGACCAAAATGTATTTAGAAAGCAAAAATCTGTAAAATGACGTTAGCAGATGGGACATCGGCGTTTGAGAGTGGCTTAATTACCTGGTCCTCCAACTTGCTGATTGTGCGAGGAGCAGAGTAATTGAGCTCTGCAAGATGTTTTCTATAAAGCGTTTGTTAATATGTTGCTCAAATTCAAACACCAATTCCACTTACTTCATGGCGGTGATCATCGGTGGTGGACCTGCGTGAGAACCATCAGCTACTTTTAACGTGCGTGTAAGAATGAACACCTGACTTACCGCACATAAGGACCTTGATATCATGATTTGAAGAAGGCATGTGTTTCTCGATCTGGTCCTTGGTTACGAAACCTGAACCACCATTCCAACCCTGCGGAGGATTGTTGAGTACATAGTAAACCTGGAAACGCTCGGGGTGGGCAGCAGCGAGAGCATCGAGCTCCTTTTTAAGAAGAATATCCTCAAAGTTGACATTGGCGTAGATGAGGTTGAGCTTAGTCTTGTCTTCGGCGTTCTTTAAGGCAGCACGGATGATCTGCAACATGGGCGTAATGCCGGTACCGCCCGCAATCATACCAATCTCGCGCGACAACGTGGGGGTATACTTGAAAGCACCCTTCGGGCCACGAATGCGGACCTTGTCGCCAATCTTAAGAAGAGAGATGTAACGCGAAATGTTGCCCTTTTCATATGACTGCAGCCCGAATAAGAATGGCTAGTCAAGTCCTAAGTGGAAACGGCGACTTACTTTGATGAGAAGGTCGAAGTGGCCGAGGTCATCATCGCTGCTAGTCGGGGTATAGCTACGCATGATGTCCTTTCCGTTGATCTCTGCAGAAACCGAAATGTGCTGCCCAATGGGCAGGCCAAGGACATCCTGCGGGTGAGGCAGGGCAAACCGGTAGCTAAGCGGCCACAGCGGTCATTCAATGGTTAGCATGAAGGACACACAATTGAACGCACATGGCGGTATTGGGCGAGATGTCGATCTTTTCTTTGAGTGAGAATTCTTGCCAAACCTGGGAGTTCAGTACTGGCTTTCGTTCTGTATCGGAAATGCGTCAGCGGAAAGACGGTGCCGAAGAGCATGCAACGGTCATTCAGACCACGAACGTACTCGACGAAGGGCCGAACTTGACGAAGATGAACACGCTGCTCGCCACCGCCAGTGCCAAAGCGATCACTTGCGTGTATGAACTGTCGATTCCGAACGCCATTGGAGTGCCGTTGGTATGGTTAGAGGACTTGGTGGTATTGAGTTTTGGTTCTAATCCGATAAGTATAAGTCGCGAGACGTCGTAACCAGCTTCTCTTAGCTTTGTTCGCAGCCAATGAAAACTAAGTACAAGGACAGCTAATGTCGAAAGGAAAGAGACGGCGAACAGAGCTTGTTGGCGGTTCATGTTTCAATGGTTTCATAAGCACCACGTCAACACCACGTACATACTAATAATCAAAACTTCCCAGTTTCAGTCGCTCCGGAAACGCTTAACCAGACTTCTGTCCTCACACAAACTGCGCTTAGGTGGTTCCTCTGTGCACAAGTTACCAGTATTATTATACACATTCAATGCTTGGCTGTGTCTGTTATCTTCGAGCACTGTATATGGAAAGCAAATATTTATATTTGAAACGCGGCGCTTTGGGCCCTACCATAAACGCACCCTGACGACTCGCTCAATAAACCACAAACAAAAAAGGTGTGCATAACACAACTGCGAGTTCGTCCAAGGTGTGAATGAAAAGGCAGTCTCGTCTCAAGTATCACTATACACAGTTTTAGTTTCGATGGCCAAAATGGCTAGCCCTTGTTGTAGCTAACAGACGCTAGTACGTCGCAACAAAATGAAGGCGCAGAAATAGAACCGCGCACCACGGAGTAAGGTGAAAGTTGGCAATGTCGAACCCTATACTGGTAGATTCCGGGTGTGTTCTGAATGAGCTGGGATCTGGGAAATAAGTAAGCGAGCAGTGTGCTCCTGGGGTATGGGGTAATAACTTGAACTCGAGAGGGATATGCCAGGGTTGTCATGAAGATCCCGAGGACTAGGGTTGACGTGCCCAGCCAACTTGAACGGCTAGCACGGGAAGTAATAGTAGTCGAAAGAGAAAGTTGACTTGACGGTGCAAGTTTCGAGTCTTTTCGAGTGCGCCATCAAATAACACCGTAAATGGCGTGCTCTCTGGGATTGCCAGGCTCTCGTTAAGATAAGCTTCGTGATATTGATTGCATCATCGGTCTGTAGTGGGTCTGTGCAGTCAGTTGGGGAGAAGCGGAGTTACGCCACTGCCCGGGATGTCACCGTGACGGTAGTGATCACATTGTACTGCCCAGGCTCGGCCATATTTACCCCGAGCGCGAGTGCCATGTCATTCTTAACACTCAGGTCGCGGGGGGGGCTCGGCTAGTGACATAGCTGACAGACGTGACTACCAAGATCAGTCATTTCCCATGATTCGACGCAGGATAACCTAACCTAGAATGATACTTACATTATCGGTTGAGACAGGTAGCCGAGTGATCAAGTACCACTGCTCGAAGTTGAGGAGCAGACAGATGAACTGTTCCATTTTAGGTATTCAATTCATCGGGGGCGTCAATCGTTTTTGACTAAGGTTGAAAGCGAAAGCAGATTGGGTGATAACGCATCTTGTATATTGCCAATAAGATCGGATCGATACGCCGCAGTGCTGACGGACTTTACAAAGAGATTGAGCTTCGAAAGGATGCGTGGAGCTTGGAGGAGTCAGCCGAGAGCTACCTTTTCGCAGCATAACTTATAAGTCAACTTTGAGAAGGCTTCGTCTGCGTGTTCTGAAGTTCCGAACACGACTCGTCTGGAGAACCGGAACTGAAATACATGAACGTTGAACGTCCGCCGACGTTATCTGGTAAAATGAAAGTAGCGGAGCCGGATTAAATGCATAAGCGATCGGAAAGGAGGATACCACGTTCCCCACACTATAGTGACGGGGCTGTGGTCACTGCGACCGCCATTAAAATGTTACACACACAAGTACAAAGAGCATGGATATTATTATGATTATGTAAGTGGATGGCTAAGTCACTTCTTCCGCTGTACTCTCCTTGTTCCTGGTATCCGACCGTTTTCTTATTTTCTTTCTTTCTCTTCATCCTTGTGTTGTTTTACTGAAATTTATATTTTCATAGCACTTGAGCCTTGTGTTCAGGAATAACGGAGATCTTTTCGACTCCAACTTGATCAATCTAATCACCTGCAGGCAAGGTGACACGCTGGTCGTGTAATTCATATCTTTGGCTCCTGTCATGCAATCCACCGAAAATCAATATTTACCGCAGTTGGTCCAGGCGTCATCTATGGCCACACGCAAAAGATGTCCCCCCACAGCCCTCCGCATTGACACTCCTGCTGAACACAGTCCCCTTATAGTCCTCGCAACGGACGAGGCCACCTCTCCATCTGCCCCCTCTTCTTCCGCTTCCGATTCCGCATCAAGCCCTCAGCTTCTTGCACATAAAAAACCAAGGTCACTCAGAAACATGAAAAAGCTGTCAATTAATCTTCCATCGGCTCAATCTTCGTCAAATTCTCTTGTCTCACCGCTCTCAGATTCCCTGAGTGCTATTGACACACATCAAGACCTTTACCAGGCTATTCGTCCTAGACGGCCGTCTGTGCTCTCATTGCCAAATACTGGTATTGCCACTGTCCTTCATCGAACAGATGAGGATGGTTCTCCCACCGCACCATATGTGAATGGTCCCATTCAAATTCTTCCTGGGATCTGGCTTGGTTCTGAGGACAATGCGCGAGATTGGCCTGGCCTCCTGGAGCGCCGGATCAAGGCGATCCTCAACGTTGCAAAGGAAGTCACGTCACCTTTTGATTCTTCTGCTGCGCAACCCCTGCGACCTTTCGCATCAACTCCCAATCTTAGCTCCAAGGCATCCAAGGCAACGCAATCCACGACCTCAACATATTACCCTGCCCATATTTCCTCTGGGCGTCCAGGCATGCATTACTTGAAGTTGCCATGGTCTCACGGACAGGCAGATCTTGTCCAGGAAGGATTTCCTACAGCTATGACCTTTGTAGATGCTGCACTCAATCGTCATGAAGGCGTACTCATCCAGTGCGTAGTTTCGTAGATGTGTTGAATCTATAGTCCTCATGTTATGTGCAGTTGCCAATGTGGCATCTCGCGCTCAGCTACACTGGTCATCGCCCTTGTGATGCGTGCCGCTGCCATGTGTTTACCTAACGTACCCCCTGAGGTGTGGCAGCTGAAAGGCATGCAAGCAGCATACTCATTTGTAAAAGAGAAAAGTAAGCATGTTGGTCCAAACATGTCGTAAGCAAGCCTCGATTCTCGCCACTTGGTCTTCGATTTCAATGCTGCTTTAATTTTAGTCTCATTTACCAATTATTGGAATATGAAAAGGCTCTCAAAGGCGGCGGTCCCTCGCCCGCCGAATCAGACAAGTCTTCTTTCATCAGTGACGAAGAAAAGGAGTGGGGTCGTCGCCGTAACGCGTATGGTAATGATGAAACGGATGACAGAGACGATGCTATCCAACAGGAGGCTAAAGACCTCGACCGGGCTATGGAAGAACGCATAATCGCAAGGAAACCTTCGGTATCCTCCGTTGCTTCCTCATCGGGGGTGGGCATGGGTCCAGCGTGGCGCAGCCGATATGGGCGCAAGCGAACCGGCTCAGTTGCCAGCATCCATACAACCGGCAGTGTTCTAAGCGAGGATTTGGTTGAAGCGGACGAGGAGCAAGAGCTCTTAGGAATTGGTGGAGGCTTCGATGAAGCCACAGAACCTCGAAGAAGTCCGTGTTTGTCATTGTCCAGCGAATCGCCTGGCACAAGCGAACATAGTACTCAACCTTCGTCTTGTAAAGCTTCGCTCCATCGCCCACCCTTACGAAGCAAATCGTTTGATCCCGTGCCTTCGGCACCTGCAACGAAACTTACATTCAATATTCATCAACCTCCTGGTACGGCAGTGCAATCGACTTTCAACTTCCCTGCGGGCAAGGGCAAGCGGCGACCACCCCCGTTAGGCATACTACCCACGGTACCCCCTTCCCCCATCACACCTATCGCTGTACAAGACAGTCAAGAGACACCCCGTACCCGTCGCCGGACGCCGGCTCGTAAACCAGCGCCACCTCCGCTCAAACTCCGCGGAAACGCCAGTCAATTTGCATTTCCCCCGAAAACTACTCCACCACGACAACTTATTGCCGCGACGCCCTCTCAGACTTTGTTCGTCTTCCCACCTTCGCCCACACATCTCACGACCGCATTGCGCACGCCATCTACCATGACTGTAACATCCAATGTACAGAACACTGCTTACCCATTCCCATCACAACACACCCCACGAGTATCCACCTCTCGCTCTCATGGTCGTATGAGGTCTTTTATTGGCGTTGGGACTTCGGTGGCACCGACAACGGCATATTCTCGCGTTGATGCACGAGGTTGGGTTGGATTTGAGTAAACGACGCTGGTCTGCGACTTTGCACCTGTTATGTTGCGTCGCTTCCTTTCGTACGCGCGTTCGCAGAAAGGCATAAATGAGACTTGTATCATCTAGATCTGTTACGTAGGCCGTTGTTCGCATTTCGTTTGTCCTTCATGTTGTTGTTTTCATCTTCGTGTCCATTGCTTTCGTCTTCGTGTCCATTGTTTTCATTTGGACTGACAGCATTTATTATGGCAACTTTCGCAATTGTGTAACACTAGCTATATCACAACTGGCCTTTGGAATCAAGTACGATGAATGAACTTTCAATCATCCATTCATCCGAACAATCTCCCAACACTCTTCTTCATGGCGCCACTCAGGATCTGCCCACCTATGCCCCCCATTCCCATATTCCATCCAGAAGACGCGATACTATTCGCCCATCTTTGTTTTGCATCCCTGTCTCTGAAAGCGACATCTCTGAGCATCGAACAACGTATAAAAGGCATAAACTGACGCATAGGTAAATCCAACAGCATTGGTGAGATTGAAGACAAGCGCTAGAGCCACAATGGGTATAAACCTGGCCAGATGGTAAGTAACGAACTGAGTGGCACACTTCTTTCCAACTCACGAGAGGCTGAAACGGAGAAAAGAGACTACAAAGAGTAGCAACCAGAGTGCTGGAAACACGTAAAGAGCTATCTGCAAAGTGACATGTGCAGGTGGTAAGTCTAATGTGGAGGTTCTGACTTACCCAGAACATCCTATTCGCACCATGGTCAGAGTAAACTCGACTTTCGTTGGTGGAAATGATACGCACTTGGCATCCACTGGATTTGCTGGTCTTGACGGCTAGCAGCGAGGAATGAGACAGCTAGCAGCAAAAGATTATAAATTCTTTCGTACGTCTCTGCTCTCGAATACCCAATAGCTCTCCCCGTCGTCATCCACCTGGTTCCAGAAACGCAGGCCAACGAGGGTACGACCAGCAACATTCTTTGCACACCTTAATCGATTGTTAAACATGAGCCTCGCGAAAGCTTACTCTACAATTCCAGAAGTCCATTGCAAGTAAGACGACTACCACCACCGTCTACGGGCAACCGGTGAGAAACGAGAAATTCAAAAGGTCTGCCACTCACAGAGAGGACATAATTGTCTGTCAACAGTCCACACAAAATGTACACGACGATGGCGGATGTCCGGAAGAAATATAGGCAAAACAAAGCTGCAGGATGGGCAGACTGAGTGCGATTGAGAATCGGTCTAACAAGTCAAACACGTTGCTTTAGATTCAAACCTGTTTCAATATACCAGCAATGCCTGTGAATCTTTATTAAAGACAATAAAAGAATATATTATGGACATACAAACCTGATTCTGCATCGGCCGGAGTGGAGGCCATATTATTATTAGTAGGTGTCAACACTACCGCAGGTCGCGTATTAGACGTGGTGTTTCTGGACGGAACCTGCACCGTCGAAGTATCGTCAGGTTCGATGGTCTGCAGCAACGGCGTGTTTGTGCTCATTGTTGGTGAAGCTCAAGGCGTAGGTCTGACGATCGACATGACTTTGTCCCTGACCGGGTACTAGGGTATGGTTGTGTTTGTGCTTGTCGGTCACAACGTGTTCAGTTACCATTACACTCATGAATGAAACACTGCAGGTCAACGAAGCTACTCCTCTGCTATCAGCGTCACCTGGCTTTACGGAGCGTCCTGCTGTGCTTCCTGTGGTGCGTCGGTACCGGTTGGGAGGCTCGAATGCCGATGATACCCTGGATTCGCAATATAGGTTTCCATCTGATGCAGAACGGATTGCATTTCTGTTACTCGTCCAACTACATTATAACGAATCACAGTACAGTTCCCTGAACGACTCTTCAGATATCTGGGAAAACTGGCAACATGCCAGAGCCGCCTCGGCTGTCGTTGAGGATACCGGACGACGTACTAGCGAAATATTGAACCAATTCCTCCTGAATCACAGTAGTTCTTTTACCATCCAAACTATATTTTGGACAGCCTTTCCTCTAGAAGATACGGGGTACGCGACTACGAGAGGTGAGCACAATGTCTACAATAATCGATTCGCAAATCATGGTTGAGCAGTAATCGATATGTTGACGGAGGACCATGTTCCTCCGGAGCTTCTCACACACCCTGTTGTAGAAGCCGTAGTCGCTAAGTGTTGGAAATATGGAATGAAAGCTGGATTCGCACAGGATCACGGTTTAAGTTTAATAGGACACTTTGATGCTCTTTCCACACCCAGGTGTGTGGCTGCAGATACGAATCTCGATGTGTAATCCTCATATCATTCACAGAGTTTTACATTTCATTGATGTTTTGGGCCGACTGGTTTTTATGGGTTCACTTATTCACTACCTGCTATATCCACCACACTTCCACATAACCCTTGGACAAAACGAGCAAGGCACTCGAGAGGTTATTCTTACTTTCATGTCTGCCGCATCCCTCGCTCGACGGTGGTCAATACATACTCTGCCGGCGATGCTTGTATTCCCCGCATTCGTCATGACTCTTCCATCTGTCCCTTTACCTGGAAATGTCTCATTCTCCGTGCTTCACATTGCCCTCCTACTCCAGCTGGTTCTCCTTCACCTCCCTAACTCTCCCAGCTTACCTTCCGCAATAAAGCCTGAGAGCACCATACCCCTCTCTACGTTGCTTTCGCACGGAGTGACTCGCATCGTCATACCAGTCACCCTCTTTTTCTTTCCGGTCCTATTACTCACGACATTCCTCGTATCCGCCTCGCTTGTCGACACTCCCCTGTTGGTGTTGAACAACACTCTGGAAGTAACTCCGATGGATAGCCGATTCTCATTCTTCATCCTCTTCATCACTGTCATTATGTTATTATTGGGTGGACTTGGCGTGGCCTTGGCGATGTTCCCAACCTTGGCATCATCAGCCACCTCAACAAGTAAATGGGATCATTACTCACGAGAAATCGGGTTGCACGCACGCAGGTCATTTGTGGAAGCCCTTGTCCAATATGAGCCTTATTACTTTCCGGTTCCATTCAACTTGCTCCAACTTGTTGTGCGAGTGCCTTGCATAGCGTTCTCTTGGTTGGGGCATCCAGTGATTCCGTACACAGAGTCAGTGGAGAGGGTGCTGTGGAGAGTCAGTGTAGGATTGATTGGAGCTGTGATTTCTGGCTTCTGGCTTTGGGGTCTAGCGTGACCCGACCCGATAAACGTGTCAGGTATTATTAGATCCTGGTATTACCGTTCTTCCATAGATACTGGCATTACTTTTTAGTGTAGTCCATACCAAGTACTTATGGGATAATTGCTCAAATCGGAAAGTTCAGACTCGAAACTCGTTGCGACCAACTCTCATGTCGAAACGGAAGGCGGAACCCTCCAAACGACTTGCGAAACGACGGAAGGGAGAAGTCCCTGCCTTTGGTGCGGAAACTCAGGATGATCGGGTCAATCTCGCATCGAGCCTCTCTACAGCATCTGCCTTTTCCACTCGCTCAGTGTCATCCACTGGCCCAATTCCTAACCTTTCAGCATTATGCGCGCGCTCCTTCGTCTTAAACCTGCGCGCACTACACGAAACTCGTGATGATTGGGAAAGCACGCTCAAGTGGTTGAAACTTATACCCGACAATCTGGTGCCCAAACTGTTCGCTATGCTGAGATCCTCCTGTCCAGAGATACTCACCAACGCAATGATAACTTCCGTATGCACATTCCTTACCCCCCGATATGTTGCTCATCTTCCGTTAGTATTTTTTACGAGGCCCATCGATCGTACTGACCAGTGACCTCCCAGCAGTGAACAAAATCACAATTTTGGCTGTCCCTGGAGCTGGCAATTCACTGCATGAGCTACACCTTACAGGATTCGTTAAATTCGCTGACTCTGTGTTTGCAACTGTCCTGCCGTCCTTGCCGTCCCTCAGAGTCTTGGTTCTTCGGTGAGTGTGATTCATGACTGCGGTTGGGAGGCCCTGATTTTCTGCAGTGGTTGCGTCAAAGTGGGGTCCGCCACTGCGGAAGCTGCTGCACGGTCTTGCTCCTTGCTTTCAACTGTGAACTTTAACTACACCGCTGTGCCGCCTGTGGCGCTTGTCCCACTCCTGAAAACTTGTCCTGACCTTAAGGTGCTAAAGCTTGCCGGGATACCGAACTGGGTAAGTAGCTTAAACTTTTTTGAACTGTTGATTCATTGCAGCCTAGACTGATGCAACCTTTGCAAAATTATCTTCTGCTGTATTCCAAGACGAGAGTTTCAAACTGAGGAATATACAAACATTGAAACTACGTCATTTGGGCCTTTCAGAAAGCTCAATTAGTTCTTTTTTGGCCCGCTGTCCGAACCTCATTCGGCTGGACCTCTCCTTCACGCATGTCCACCGACCACTGCTGGTTGTATTAACAGAGGCGAGAATTGAAAAGCTGTCCTTGACATCTACTGCGATTTCCAGCGTTGATATTGTGGCGCTCGTCTCTAGCCTTCCTCACATCAAATATCTGGCTCTCGGGGCATTGGGAGGTAGACAAGGGTCGTCGGTAGCTATTGGGAACACCTCTGCGATGACGATGACGGACCAGACGCTGGAGTCATTGACAGACGTGTTGAAGGATTTTGGGCAACTCGAAAAGATCAGTTTGGTCGGAAATACAAAATTGGGGGCTACTTTTCGTGGTAGTGGAGCCCTGGGATACTTCATCCAATGCGCCGGAAGGAAATGCAAGGTTGGTATCCATTGCATTTTTTTAAAAGCTATATCATGCCTGAATTCTGTATCAGTACCTCAACTTGTCAGGTGTGCATCACCTACAGTCCCTTCATCTTTCTGGGCTTTTGCCGCAAGATGCCGAAAACCAACCACCCAGACTCGAACAGCTCATTCTCAACAACACCGGTGTGGACGATGATGCCACGCCTTATCTGGCATGTTGCTCGAATCTTGTGGTGCTGGAACTAGCGGGTACAAAAATAAGCAGTAAGCGGACGTGCTGTCTTGGGTTTTGCCTTGTGGTTGAAGTACTGCAGGTGCTGGTCTCTTTTCTGTCATCGACGCCTGCCCTAAATTACAAACGTTGAACCTCACGAGCTGTAGGGGCGTAAGTGTGACTGATAGACGTCGTTTTTTCGAGGTGCGTGTGGCTAGAACAAGATCTGCATGATTGAGAGTATTAATTATGTAAAACATATATAGGCGTGGAAGCACAACTCAGAAGAAACTTGAAAGAGTCATGTTTTCTAGTGGGACCGTACCCACAGTGGGAATCAGGCGGTTTACTTCCGCAGAACCAATTGCTCCATCCTTCCATATGTCAGATACACACACTTACAACACGCGCACGATGTGTGAGAGCGGAATTTTGCAGAGCGCATTGTCATTTACAATGAGCTAGACGATTGTTACATAATTTTTCCGGATCGCGTAGAGTCGGCCAATAAAAAATGGACAATCCTTTTTGTCTCCTATATTCATTTGTGTACGCGTTGTTTGGTTAGCTCTACCTTCCATTCTTTGTTAAGTATGTCGCCCCGGGGTGGTGTGATATCGACTACTACTACTGTGTTAGCGCCCTCATTCATTTGTTTCTCTTTTGCCTCATCTTCTGTTCCTAACACTCGTTACCACTTGACATTCATTCATGTTTCACTATTCTGGACGTCTTGCTGGGCTCGACGAAATGATCTTGAAGATCAGCGCTCCTTCAAAAATTGCATCTGCAGTATCAACATGCACCCTCGACGGCGAGCCATACCTTAAGGTCAGGAAGGTCAAAAAGCGCAAGGCTCAGCGGGTATCTCGTCCACCCCTTGCGGACAAGACACTGCCGGCTGTGAATCATGTTGTATGTAATAAAAAACTCGCTCACCGGCTGGCCTTTAAATATCACTGAATAGTCAATTCAGCACCCCCACGCTTCTGGGCCCTTAAAGATACAGTGTAAATCATCGGAAAAACCTGCCGCTGTTGAGAAGCCCCGCGAGGAGCAGCAGAAGCTTGTTCCTCCCGACCAACCCGTTACTCACGTCAACAGCTCACAATACAACATTGAGTCATTTCGCCCCCTTCCCCCTGTGCCATCTGCATCCACACTGCAGCTACCTTCCTTTCTCAATTTTTCAACCACACATTCGTTAGCATCTCCTTCGCCTGCAAACCAGTATCGTAACAAGTCTTCCCGCTCCCTCCCAGCCACTATTTTGTTCCGCCATTCATCTAGCCACATCTCATCCACTGGACGAGTTGTTGTTCGCAAAACTAAGAACAAGAAGGTTTATGAAGGACCGCACTGGATTCCTGCCTTCCACCATCCAAATAGTCCTTATGTTCCGTGGCCATCTGCCGTACGGCATCGCATTCTTCCTCCATTGATGCCGGAATCACCTATCTCACCTCTTTACTCACGTAGTGGAGCTGTCGCACCAGAGCCATGGGGCTCGGATTCTACCACCGAGACACAAACGAATGTGGAAAAGCGTTCCAGTTCTTGGAAGAGCTTCAAGAAATCGGTTAGGAGCGGCCTAAAGAGCGTTAAGAGCGTCGTCTCGCGCATTGGCAAGGTCCCGAAACTCTCCTGTGGGCGTTCAGATATAAAGATGACGAATCGTAGCGACGACCCGGTCTCATCTGCGGGTGACTGCATGGTGTTTACGCAGAACCCATCCCCAGTCTGCCCTGATTCTCCTATCAAAGATACCTCCGTCTCACGAGCTTCGTTGGGCAGTCTTGTATCATCAGACTCTGCTACCCTAGCTGCATGGCTAGCTGAACGGCATACCTCTAACACTTCATGCGAGTCTCCTGGGATGTCAGTGGAAGAGTACGAGATGATGGGTAGTTGGTTGGACTTACGTGTCGGAGATGGGGAAAGGGTCTGTGGCGTTCCGGATTGTGATGCCCATACTTCAAACAGATTGCCCGACACGCTTTGCCACAGACTGCGGGATTTCCATCCTGTCGACGCCACCTTTAACGAACCTGTGCCGAAGAAGACGACATTGCCTGTATCCACGCTGGACCTTCATTCGTGGCCACATCCATTTTACTCCCTTCCGCGGCTACCATCGCAAGCATTTGTCATATCTACGAAGGAATTGAAGACCTTGGACGACCCGAACGTTGAACGTTTTGTAATGTCCAAAAAATCACGTGAAATAAGTATGCCTGGAGGATGGGCGTTCACATCATGACTCTAAAATTCTGTGGACTGATGTATGTTTATCACAAAACCTAGCATTGTGGCGTATGTGTACTTGTTCACCCCCAAGTGTACTGGATGGCACACAATCTTATTTTATGGGTTGTACTTGATCGATAATAACTGTACAGGCATATCTTTTCTATTCTTTTCTATTTTGTACCTATAGTCACTGTAGTTTTGTTCATAATTTTCATTTCATCCGTTTGCTTCCGACGAAGAACAAGAACAAGGCAATCACTATGATGGGACATCGCCTTGTCCGTAAAAGGAAGGTGTTGAAGATGGTGAAACCACAAACAATGCCGTCGAAGCGTGTGGACACGTTTAAGTTGCGCTGTGGCCGCTTGTACTTCAACAGCAGATTATAAGGACCGAACATAATTAGACTATGCGAACCACATATCACTTCCCCCAGCACCATCCCCTACCTTTCATTTAGCCTCCCCCTACTTGCTTCATCATGACCTTAGCACGACAGCAGATATCGCAGTCGGAGGCGGACCCAACCTTGCTAGTCTCTCGAATATCGTCTCCGAGTCCAAGTTGCCACGACGAGAAATCAGTAAATGGACTCCCCACATACGCCGCACCATCCATCTTTCCACGCGACTACAACGTGCCATCGTGCATAGACCACACCTCACAGTTCTTTGAGCTTCTTACTGCGCCCTATCATCCGCCAGCTTCCCTGAGTCCTTTGCGGCGTGCAACGCCCCGTCAAGAAGATGCAGAGAGGTGTGCAGCAATGGTAGACTGGGGCGATACGGACGAGGATTCAACGCCACAAGAGGGATCTTCTTCTACCTTGCAACACGAGTCTTCGTTGCCTGAAAGCTCCGCTAAGGATATCTCGATATATGTGCCACACGGTCCATACGCATGGGCAGCTGGTGAGGATATCCAACAAACAGAGACATTGTTATCCCTACGACGTGCGTTTGATCGCGGAGTTATCTTTGTTCGTCTTACTCACAATGATTTAGAGGGCTCGATGTGCTCAGCCTATATACAAACCGGTGTTATTGCCGGACGAAAGATCACTTTTATCAGCCGACGGTGAGAAAATGTCCCAAGTGATGATGATCATTGACTTAATATGAGATAGATGGAATCTCGACAAGCAAGCGGATTGGATCGGTTTTGATTCCGAGGTTCGTGCGCATAATGCAAATCATTCGTCTCCTGAACGTCTGTCTTTCAGATGGCTCTCTACAGCTCAGAACAATACCTGAAGCCCCTACAAGGCGTCATTGTTCCTCGCATAATCGGTGTACACATTCTGCCAGGCGCGATCAGCTTTGCTATGGAATTACCTCATCAAAGTTTTTGGATGGAGGCCTCTCCTACCATGCCCGACGTCCTCAAGGAACGTGCTATGCAAGGGCTCGAGATGCTCCATTCGCGAGGTATTCTTCATGGAGATATTGAACTTCGTCACGTTCTCATCGGCGGGGATGGCGCCGTTACATTCATCGATTTCCAACTGAGTCGAAGTACCAATCCTGACGAATCCGTGGGCTTGGAGAAGGCGGAGGACGAAGAGTTTCGTTTCGAGAAACGCTTACTTGCATTCAAGCTTGACCTCCACGGTGCTCGGGCGAGTGAAATCCAGAAGACTGAAGCGTTCGTACAGCGTACTAAGCGAAATAAACGGAGAGATGCGTTGTGGAGACGTCGCTCCCATGGAGCTCGCACGGGATACATTCCGCCTTATGAGGAGGAGCCTGAGGAGGAAAAGATTGTACCGCCTGTCCACCCTCATGACTTGCAGGATACATGGATGAAGAATTCAGACGCTCCCCCAATACGCGTTGTTGTTCCTGGACAGAGTACAGAAGAGGTGAAGGCTGCTATTCGGACATTCTTTGAGTCTCTAGCAGAATCCTGTCCTGACCAAGCGCTTTCTCAACCACTACCTTCTACTGGGGACAGGGCAGAAGCGTCTGAAGCGGCATCATCGACATCATCTCTCACGTCGGCAATCGATCTCTCTCCAACTGCAGTCCACGAATCGTCACCCTCATTGGCGGGACGCAAGCGTCATAGAGAATCTTCCCCCTCTCCCTCCCCCCACGCCTCTCATGCTTCATTCGACTCGCGACCCTCGAAACGTATTCGTCATGAAACAGAACCTTCGTCATCTGCTCGCGTCTCCTCCACTATCCATCCATTGCCAGGAATGTCCAGGGTCAATCCTCGTGATCGTGTACACATGTGGTATTCAGATCTCCCCGACAATGTTGAAGTTCCTCCCGCTCCCGTCCGTGTCAGACCTCTCTCCATGACCGCTGCGCTTATCCGACAACAAAATATTGCACTTTGTCGTGAGGCAGGGCTTCCTCATGCTGAATTGGTCGAGAGGGGCGAGGTTTCACCCATGGACGCGGTTCGTCACTATTTGCTAGCCAAGAAACGTAGAGGGATAGCTCGAGGCAATCTAATCCGGGAGCGAGATCGGGATGGATACTCGCCATACGTTCATCATATAGAGAGGTCACGCCAACGTGAGCGCTATCTCATGCTGAAGGACGTGAAGAACGCGTACACCGCCACCTGTGAAAATGCCCCCAACCTGTTAGATATCGCAATGCCAGCAGGAGATGACGCATTTTCCACTTTTCTCCACATGAACGAGCACAAAGATGTACCGGAAGGCCCCAGAATATTGCAAAAGACAGAATACGAGTTCGTGCAGAATAGCCGGAAACAGGCTATCGTACTTACGCCCTGTCGAGGGGTACTAAAACGACGAAGAGAGGATGACCCAGTTCAGAACTTCTTGCCTGCGACGAATTCACCTAATCCTGCGGTACCTGTCGGTGATACTGGCAGCACTATTCCTCCGCCTCGCAAGAAAGCTCGAACCAAGGGCCCATCCCGCAAACCAGCACGTGCCCGTATACCCCTGTTCCACACATCAGATCCTGGGTCATTGGAGAGCAACAGAGCAGCAAAGGTCAAGCTTCCGCATGACCGTGATCTGGCTAGGCGATGTTCATCATCGCAACCTACATCAAGCATTGATTTTACACCACCATCGTGGCGCGGTTTATCCGTTTGGATGGGATCTTTAATGGGATGGTCACATTGATCTTGGAACGTTTTTACCTTATTGATACCCCCACTTTTCGGATTTCGACTTTCCGTGTAATATTTGTTGATTCAAATGCTTAATACGAAGGAACAAGTATATTCCTGTGATAGATCTCGGGGAGACCGAGAAGACTTTACTCCGTGACTGAAGCATGTCGGAACATGTCGAAAGCTACCATGCGTAAGCTGTAACGGTGAAGTTGAAGGGCCGGGCTTACTTATGTAAGCATTCCCAAAAGCGGAGGAGGCATGCGAGCGAGCTCCGAGGGACGCAGCGGAATGCTGCTTAGCGATTTCTCACCTCAGACCGTTTCCGAACTGGCTTAGCCCTGCTCGCGTCGCTGCCGCTTATCATGCAATGCCTCATTCACTCCTAGTTTTAATTAATCTCGCCTTTCCCAAAGGATCGTCAGTTTTTCACATGAAACGACATAGTCCGTGAAAGAGTCGGGCCTCAGGGAAATCCCTTAGCGTATGCTAAAGCCTCATCCGCCCAACTATATCATATCATCAATTTGCAGGCACAAGTGCAGCCGTTTGTGACCGCATGTGCTGTAGTGGCTGTTAGCATCGCAACCTTGTAGTCCAACTGAAGGTCACAAGAACTGCGGTCGGCCCGATGCCCCAGTTTTCCTTGGCTCAAGACGAGCCCAGCTTTCTTCCTATGGTATTAAAATTCTGTGGCAATTGAATCCGCGTGATTGGTTTGTTTTTAGAGCACATGCACATTGCAGCCCTGGCCTGCGCCAAGCTGTTGCGAGATCCGTCACGGGCAGGTCTGAGCCTCCACACCATGTCACGAGAGCATACAGCAAGAGCCCAGCCTTGGCTTGTCAAAATGCAATTACTAGCTGTAGTAGCAGCTGAAAATAAGATACAGTTGGCAAATTAGAATTGTTTATCAACAGTCCCCATGGTAAGTTACCGAGCAGCTAAACTCACTCGTTTCTGAATCCTGATGGAGTGAGAGACTGGAGATACATACTTTTTAGAAGTATGACCACGGATACATCATGATGGCAACCATTAAATGAAAAGCAAGTAGAGTGTGATCAGTGGTCACTGCTCCGTGAGTAACGTGATTTACGTCGATTCCTGTATTGATTTGATGCTTATGCTGTACAGTTGAACAATATTACAGGAACTACGTGTTATGCTCATACTCCTTCCAGCTAATTTCTCAGATAGATCCGAGTCTGAGGAGGTTGGAGCGATGCATCCACACCGTGCCTGACCTGCGTAATCCCGCTCGGTTAATTCGGGTATGTAACTTATCAGACGTGGCGTCTTTATTCAATCAACAGTCCGTACTGCCACGCCCCCACACGCTCATATATCCATGGGCCGTACTTAGATCCAAGTCTTATCTTTTCCTTCCTACCTCACGAGCGCTCCCCGAAATGAACGTAGAAAAGACAGACCCTACTGCTTATCGCACTAGCAAAGGCGAAAGCTCTGACGCCTCAGACCGCGATGGAGAGTCTGTCCAGGGGCCCGCGCGGCACACCCTCCAACGCAAACTCAAGAATCGTCACGTCGCCATGATCAGGTCTGTTGTTTTCTTCTTCTTTCTTCTGATCAATTCTCACATCCCTCAAGTATTGGCGGTGTCATCGGTACTGGTCTTTTTGTTGGAACCGCAAACTCTCTGAGGAATGGAGGTCCCATTGGTCTCTTGCTCGGTTACATCGTCATGGGCTCCATCGTCTATTGCGTCATGATCACTTTGGGAGAAATGGTATACTTGCTGCACATCCCAGACGTACCTACCTGACCTTTATTTCCGTAGGTGGCTTACCTGCCTATAGCTGGTGGTCACATCAAACTGGCTGAACGTTTCGTTGACCCTGCGTTCTCTTTCGCCATGGGTTGGAATTACTGGTATAACTGGACCAT